AGAATTTTTCGAACTCTTACAAATAAAAAATAAATCAATTTATCTAAAATAGGATAAAATCGCTGTGGAGTACTAGAGTCCAAAGCAAATTGGAAACTGCGCTACAAATATAGTGCCCAAATCTGAAAGCCTATGTGTGTAATAAAAAGCAATATATATGAAAGGAATCTGCACCATATGCAATACTATAATGTTTATCTATATATGTTACAAGCTCTAATGCTGCTCGCTTTTAGAGGCAGTATCCTGATTCCTCCTTAAATATAGAATTATACAAAATTAGAGAAAGCGCAAAAGGGAAAAAACATATACACATTATATAGAAATGTATAACATATACAATACTTTATTCAAATAACATAGCATTAGACTAAAAAGTAATGTTATAAAAGCTTTCAATAAAAGATATTGGAATGGAGATGGAGGAGGGGTGGGGGGTAGAAAAGGAAGGGGTAATAGCACTATTGCTTCCAATTCCAATTGTGCATACTATTGGCTCCGTAAAAAGGGAAAAAGAACCAGAAGGAAAAAAGCCAAAAACCAAAAATCTAAACCAAAAATCCAAAATGAAAATCTGATCTGAGTTTGATGATTTGGGCTGTTTCCTGAGTAGGTCTGTTGGTCTATTGGGGTAGAGATGCCATAAGTGCGTTATGGCAACTATCATACCCTGAGGAAGAGAGTGCAAGACTCATGAAATGTGTAAGATTTGAGGAATACCGATAAGCATCGACCACTGGTGTACCCTGGGCTCTGGCAGTTTGGGTGCGGCATATCGGAGAGATGCAAAGGTGGAGGAAAGTGTTCCCTTGGGGCCCGTGGACCCGATATATCTTTTGCCTACATCCTTTCACCAACTTGGACTAAAAGATTAAAGCCAAGGCACTTAGGGCATCTCTACCCCCAATAGACTGGCAGACCTACTCAGGAAACAGCCTGAATCATCAAACTCAGACTCGGTCGGATTTTCATTTTGGATTTTTGTTTTTTTGGCTTTTTTTTTTCCTTCCTGTTCTTTTTCCCTTTTTACAGAGCAAATAGTGTGCACACTTGGGATTGGAAGCAATAGTGTAAAACCCCTTCCTTTTCTCTCCCCCCCTCCTTTTTTTTTTTTAAGCTTTCACCCAATATCTTTTATTGTAAACATTTATAACATTATTATTGGTTAGTCTGATGCTATGTTATTTGAATAAAAAGTATTGTATATTTTATACATTTCTATATCATATGTATATGTTTTTTCCCTTTTGCATTTTCTCTAACTTTATTTAAAATAGGAGACCAAGTTTGCTCTCCAGGCATGTTCGCCTCTAATAGCCGTTGACTCCCAATTGGCCTTAAAGAGGTTTGCATAGCTAGGTCCTTGTTTTTGTATATATGGAGTCTTAAAAAAAAATTGTTGTATTTTAAAATAGCGTTAATAATTTGGTATAGTAAAATTGATTTATTTTGGGCTAGAAATTTCAGCTGTTAGTATATTAAAAACTGCTTCACAACCCTTATTGTGAGGGATAACGGATATACAAATTGTACATCTCATGCAAACTAAAATGTAATCGGAGTGCCAAATAAGTGCTAGTGAGCACAACTCCTATAGTGTACTACTGTAGTATCTTGTACTTGCAGCTACATGCATTAATTAATAATCTGGCTGTTAGGATTTGATTGACAAAATTCTAAATTGTAAACCACAACAGTTTCTTGTCCCCTCCCACTCCTCCCCCCACGCTTGCCACTCCTAGCAGTAAATACCTTGATATAACGGTTTATCACTACTCCCTCTCTAGGACCATTTTACACACCATCCCTACTGCAAGCCTCTACAATTCTATTCGGCTCAACCCACCCCGGTTCCCCCTAAACCTATAGCATGCTCCTCCAGCTGTTTAAAATTCTCACTCATTTACCTCTTCATTAACTCTATATTCTACCAATAGCTGCAACTCTCTGTTTCTTTATTTAGCCATCACTTCCAAATGTCCCCTGCTACCTCTTGTCTTAAATCCCCACGGTATCCTTTAGATTGTAAGCTCACGGGCTATCTACCTATGCACTTTGTATAAAAGAGCTTAAATGGCTAGATTTCATCTTACACGCAGGGCCCACTCTACCTTTTGTATTTGTGTGTGTATATTGTATGTTCTCCACTAATTGTACAGCACTGCAGAATCTGTTGGCGCTTTATAAATACCAGTAATAATAATAATAATACTTCCAAAGAATCCAAGGTCCTGATTATACCACTTACCCCTACACATTAAATGTGAGTAAGCATCCATTATTTTATACTCGTGGTACTTTTTACTGTGAGCACTATTGTTGTCTCTTTTATACTTTTCTGGTCTTCATACTGACGAAACACCGGTCTACCAATATCTCCTCACGTATCCTATAAGTGGAGATTGTACCACTGCATGCTATCCATACTAGAGCTGGGTTTAAGCTCTAACAAATGTGAGTAGCACCATAAAGTGTTTTTTTTTTTTTTTTAAATCACGCTCTTCTGGGATATACTGCACCATTAATCTTTTTTCTTTCTATATATGGCTCCAAAGGACAGCTAGATCTAGCTCTTTTATTGAAGAAGTGAATTCAGCTGCCATACGGCATGAATGGAGAGCAAGTTGAAGAAGAAAAAAGTGTAGACATAATCTGAGTGCTTATCACACAATGAAAAAATAATAATATATATATTAATAGGGGAAACATAAATAAAGCTTTAAGTTAGTAATGTGTCCAACCACAAAAAAATACATATGCTAACTTCAACAGTGTTAGTAAAGTTAGGTGTGTACCTATATTACTATAGTAGCTCTCTTAGCAATGATCACTAGGATAAACGTACAATCAATGTAGGTAGACTAAAATAGGTTCAGTACTATAAAATTCCCGCTAGATGGCGATACTACATCAGTATACAGACATTACCTATGTAAGAGAAAGCATTACAGTGCATCCTTCTTACTGAAACAATTTGTAAGAGCAGGGGTTCCAAACAAGTGGTTCGCAAACAGAAATTGGTAATGGTGGGCCTGCCAGAACAGCAAGTCCATCGGATACTCATGGAACCACAGGTTTATTGGGTGGCCCTAAGTGCATCCATTGGATGCACTTAGGGCCACCTGATGGACCTCTGCCATGAGGGGCTCGGGTGTGCGATGTGGCGCTTCATTTGCGTGACTGGGCCCCTTCTAAGCCACCTGGAGAGCTGGGAAGAAGTGCGAGCCTGTCACTTTCTTCCAGCTGATACACGATCAGCCATGGGTGTGGGCATTGAGCTGGACAGGGAGAGGAAGCAAGAAACCCAACTCCCAAAAGCCCCGGCCATGGAAACCTCTTGCCCTCAAAAGGTAGGACCTGGAGGGAGGCTAAAATCTTAGTTTGTATGTGTGTTTTTGTTGTCAGTGTGTGTATCTGTATGTCTGGGGATGTGTGTTAATGTGCGTATCTGTTTGTATGTATGTGGGTAAGTGTTGGTATCGGTATGTCTGTGCAGGTGTGTGTCTGAGCATCTGTATTTGTGTCAGTGTGTATATTTATGTCTGTACATCTGTATGTGTATATCTGTCTGTCGTATCTCCATGTGTATCAATTAGTCTGTCTGCAAGTGTTGCAATGTTTGTTTCTGTATGAGTGTGTATCTGTGTGCCTGTATCTTCATGTACGTTGGTTTGTATCACAGTGTGTCTGCAGCTGTATGAGTGTCAGTGTTTGCATTTGTGACATTGCTTGCATTTGTGTGTCTTTACTAGGGATTGACTGATATTGATTTTTTAGAGCCGATACCGATACCGATAATCTGCGAACTTTCAGGCCGATAGCCGATATCTTGCCGATATTCTGTACATTTAGTATTTTGAATAAATAAACTAATTGGAAAGGTAAATGCACAAAATATACATGCCACAAGTAGTGGATGAAGTGTGTTTAGACAGGGGAACTGTGTGTGTTTGTGTAGTGTGTGTGTGTGTGTGTAGTGGATGCAGAGTGTGTGTTTGTGTAGTGTGTGCATAATGAATGTAGTGTGTATATAATGCAGTGTGTGTAGTGTGTATATAATGCAGTGTGTTTATGTAGTGTGTGTGTATAATGCAGTGTTTTTGTGTGTGTATGTAATGCAGTGTGTGTTTGTGTAGTATGTATGTAATGTAGTGTGTGTATGTAATGCAGTGTAGTGTGTGTATGTGTAGTGTGTATGTCTGTGTAGTGTGTATGTAATGCAGTATGTGTGTAGTGTGTGTATGTAATGCAGTGTGTGTGCAGTGTAGTGTGTGTGTCTGTAATGCAGTATGTGTGCAATGTGTGTTTGTGTAGTGTGTGTTTGTGGTGTGTGTGCAGTGTGTGTATGTAATGCAGTGTGTGTGTATGTAATGCAGCATGTGTGCAGTGTGTGTTTGTGTGTGTGTGTGTTTGTGTAGTGATGTAATTTGTGTAATTTTTTATTTTAATTTTTTTAAATATTTAAATGTTTTTTTTGTTTAGTCCCCCCCTAGTGTGTGTTTGTGTAGTGTGTATGTAATGCAGTGTGTCTGTGTAGTGTGTATGTAATGCAGTGTGTGTGTGTGTGTGTGTGTTTGTGTAGTGATGTAATTTGTGTAATTTTTTTATTTTAATTTTTTTTTAATATTTAAATGTTTTTTTTTTTTGTTTTGTTTAGTCCCCCCTCCCTGCTTCTTACCAGGGAGGGGGATATAGTATTCCCTGGTGGTCCAGTGGCTTGTTAAGTACCGTGGTGGCTCAGCAGCAAACGCTGACTTACCTTGCAAGCAGCTCCTCCAGCTCCCTGTGTAAATCTTGCGGCTCTTAGTGCCGTGCGGAGCGTTGCCATGGTAACCCGTGGCAAAGCTCTGCGTTTGCGGGTCTCGCGAGATTAACACAGGGAGCTGGAGGAGCTGCTTGCAAGGTAAGTCAGCGCTTGCTGCTGGCCCCACAGGACCGCCGTGCTTGTAATGGGCCCGGCGGTCCTGTTATATATTATCGGCAATATCGGTATCTGAATTGGCCGATACCGATATTGCCGAAAATACCAAATATCGGCCGATAATATCGGCCAGACCGATAATCGGTCGATCCCTAGTCTTTACATCTGTATGTGTGTCAGTGTTTGATACACAGATACAAACACTGACATATAGATACACACTGCCACACATGCAGAAACAGACACATAGATGCAATCACTGATCAACAGATAAAATACACATGCAGATACATACACAGTGATAAGCATACTGACACATATGCAGATACAGTGTGTCTGCATCTGTATGAGTGTCAGTGTTTGTATCTGTGTAGCTCTATGTGTTGGGAGCCTGGGGCAGAGAAAAACATATATTTGAAACAATAGATTGTTCATGACAAACATTTCGCTAATATGAGGGCTTCATTTTATGGAAATCGGCTACTAAGGGGTACACAAGTGGGGAAAAAAGGTTGTGAACCACTGTGTTAGAATATGAACCAGTAGTTATGGTGGGGTGGGGTGGGGGGGGAAGGGCTTGACAGATTTGCTTTGAAGCCAGTTTAAAATAAAATAAAAAATGTTTACAAAGCTTTATTTTCAACAACAACAATAAAATTCTTAAAAGGGACATTACAGTCACCAGAACCACTACAGCTTAATGTAGTGCTTCAGGTGGCTATAGCCTGTCACTGCAGTCTTTTCAGACAAAGTGTCTCTACACCCAGTGACAAACACCCAGGCGCCAGGGCAAAATTCCTGGTCCCCATGGTGACCTGGCACCTGGGATTTGTCTAGCACTGGTCTTAACACCAAAACCACTAAATGAAGTTATGTGTTCAGTGCTCAGAATATCCCTTTAAGTGTGGTTAAGACAGATTAAATACTTCCTTCTAGTCTTACCAATTTATACCTGAATGGACACTATGATGGTCTGTAAATAGTCCATCACATATGCCCACTGTTGCTGTTCAGGCTAATGCTTCCTCATCAGTCCAAAAGGAACAGAGGGAGTGAGCTGCTGCATTTCATTAAAGCATTATAAAGAGTTTAACATTGAATGGAAGTTCGGCTCCAGGGAATCCAGACACTGTAGTCACTTCCATGAGACGAAACAGTTACACAGTGCTTACATAGTCCCTTTAACTAAAGTGTGACGTTGGAACATTACAATTTAGACACAATTCTCCATGCCACCTGGTTTTAACTCTGGCTATACTAGTCTAAAATTTCTTTTTGAATTCCTGACAATTTAATAATTTTAATAATAACCCTGACACTGTTAAATAAATTCTAGACTTGTGCACAAATTATTTTTAGCTGGTATGAACAAATCAAATTCCTATATTTGGATAAATCAAAACATCTGGGATTTACTGTGGAGTCCTATTGATTGAAGAAAACTCCACCGGTAATTCCTGATTCGTTCTGGGCAAAGATTATAAGGAATTTGATTTGTTCTTACCAGCTAAACATGATTTGTGTAACCTCTACTGAAGCAAAACGTCTTTCATTATTTGAAGAAAAAAAAATAAAGACATTTTTTTTTTTTCAAAACAGGAAGCCGATACAAAACACACACAGTTGACATTTAAAAAGGCTTCCCCTTTCTGCTTTAAAATTCAAGACTTCCCCAAACAATATAAATGCATGTTTTACTTTCTATAACAATCATTATGAATTTCTTTCAAACATGTTCTTATAAACCAAGCATTATTATGGATTTATCACTATTGACTGCATGTACAGAATGGCAAATAATGACAATGGTCCTAGGGGGCATTGCAAACATTGTAGCAAGTGATACATCAGTCTTCGTCATGCCTGCTTTAGAATTTGGACCACCTAGGCAAGAGTTTCATAGAAGCCCATGTTTTCTGAAAATCAAATATGCATTAAGGACTTAAGTAGGAACTTGTTTTTTAAGTCTTGTATTTCTTGACTGCAACTGTCTTCTTCCTTCAAACAGGATGATGCTTGCAGCCATTGCTGAATTTAAGCTATCTATACCCGGAACAACTGGAATAAAAATCCTTCTACCACCAGTTTTTTCAGCAAGCAGCAGTGATTCCAGGCTCAAACCATGCGTCTCACCTCCAATTACTAATGCACTCGACTGCGTGGTCCACTGTTCATCATAACTTTGCACCTGAATATCAGGTATATAATGCTCTTCATCATCACTACTTTCATCACTATCTGAGGCATCAGCGTCTTCCTCACGACCATATATCCTTCGGGGATTGGTGGAGACCCAACCGTAGTCACCTGCTTTTTTATTTCCCTCCTCATTGCACTCAAGTGGTCTGAAGTTATCTGCCACAAATACCCTAGTGTCATGAGAAAGGTAGTTAGGTACTGTGTCCCAGTCCAAGTCATTGACAATAGGAATGCGAAAGTGAGCTCCCATACCAGATCTCAGTACTTTTGGCTCCCAAGCATCCACACAACCTTGAAAATAAAAAAATAAAAATAATAATACAATCAATGTGTTTCAGATTTTACAGCAGACAATACAAATATGTAAAAATAAAATTTTCAAAAATATGACAGCGTGACATATTTTAGTTGTGATTCCCATTAATTTCAAAGATAAAAGCATTAGTTAAAGGAACACTCTGGGCATCATCATAACTCCATCACAATGGTCACTGATGCTGTTTTACCTTAAGAGGGTTAAACCTTTTAACCCCAAAGTTGTGTAGAGAATGCCTAATCTGATTGGAACAGCACAGCCTTTTGTACACTTGCTTCTCAACACTTTCCTATGGGAAAGCTTTAGATTGATGATCTCAGCCAACGATTCAAGGCCACATGCAGAGAAAGCAACATGGACTTGGAGAAAAGAGAAGTTAACTTCTTTTTTAGTCACTGGGGGGCAGTTACCTAAATGGTGACTAAGACCCTGTAGCATCAGGAATACACATTTTTATTCCTAACAGTATCTTTAAACTCTTATTTACCAGACCAGTTTTCAATTTTCTTACCGTTAAGGAGCAGGGCTCTTTTTACATTTCTGCAGTGTTTGTGTTTAGCTGTAATTTTCCTCTTACTCATTTACTGTACCCACACATATTATATACCGTTTTTCTCACCATTAAATGGTCTAACGATACTATTATTTACATCATATAATTTACTATCAAAATGTTTTATAAAATATGACATTTAAAAAAAAAAAAAAAAATTTTTAAAACCAAACCTTTTCTAACTTTCACCCCCAAAATCTGTTACGCATCTACAACCGCAAAAATACACCCATGGTAAATAGTTTCTAAATTTTGTCCTGAGTTTAGAAACACCCAAAGTTAACATATCCTTAGTTTTTTTTGGGAAAGTTTTAGGGATATAAGTACAAGTAGCACTTTGAGAAAAAAAAAATGGTTTGTAAATAGCAAAATTAACGAAAGTTACATTGTAACACTGATATCTGTCTGAATAATCCTTCTTCAAATTTATATATTTTTTAAAAGAAGACAAACTAAGGTATTAAACTTGGGGTATTTTGACTCTTTTCGTGCAACCATTTTACCACAAATCTATGCCAATTTTTTCAAAAAACTAAAATAAAAAATAATTGGTGATTTTTTTTGACACACATAGCAATTTAAAAATATATGTACGGAGAACTACTTTAAGGGTAACTGCCAAAGAATACCCCAATATGTGTTCAGCACCATCTCCTGAGTACAGTGATACCCACTATGTATAGGTGTGGCGGGTTCTCTGGGGGCTAAAAGACCTTATTTGGAGGGTGCGCAATCCAGTTTTCCAACTTGGAATTTTCACAGCTGGTCATCATGCACCCATGTCCTATTTGGGACATTTTTGAAGCCGGCCAATGTAATTTACCCCCATCCAACCATATATTTTTGAAAAGTAGACAACCTAGGGTATTTCAAATTGTGGTATTTTTTAACACTTTCCATGCACTAATTCTACCACCAGTCTTTGTCAAACATTTGGGTAATAATTTTTGTGTGTTATTTTTCTCTCACATTGTACTTTAGGCATGGATTCTCAGTTCCAGTTATGGGCTACTGACAAAGAAGACCCCACAATATGTGTTCAGCAACATCTCCCGAGTACAGCAGTGCCCCCAATGTACAGGTTTTATGGGGTTTTTGCAAACTTATGAGTCAAATGTAGGGCTTTCCCCATTTCCATGTTTGCACATTGAAATTTGTCAGATTGGTTTGCTGGGCCTATGTTGCCTTTGAGACCATATAGCAGCCCAGGAATGAAAATTAACCCCATCATGGCATACCATTTGTAAAAGTAGATAACCCACGGTATTCAAAATGGGGTATGTCCAGTCTTTCGTTGTAGCCACTTAGTCATAAAACACTGGCCAAAGTTAGCGTTTTTATTTGTTTTTTGTTTTTGTTTTTACACATAAACTGCACTTTTACGGGTGATTTCATCGTTGTGATAAGTTTTACTGTTTCAAACACATATTTGTGTTCAGCGAAGTCTCCCGAGTATAACAATACCCCCCATGTACAGGTTTTATAGTGTTTTGGAAAGTTACAGGGTCAATATAGGGCTTGCACCATTCAGTTTGATGGGTCTGTGTTGCCGATCACGATCGCTTCCAGCGCTCAAATTTGCCACGGACGTATGAGGTACGTCCGCAGTCCTTAGGGGGTTAATACAGGCATAGACCTGCTTATGCATTTGTTAAGAGCTACATTAGGCAGGAAAAGACAATACCAAACCTTTCTTCCATTTGACATAAATATACAGAATATGTCATAACAGGTCTAGTTGTAAGTCTATGATGTTCATTTCCTTGTTTTTTTACACCATTTTGGTTTTATTGTGAAATAAATCATAACAAGGTGTAATATGTCATGTGTTATTTATCTGAGGTTGTATTTACCTAATTGTAAGACCTGCTAAAGCCCAGATGCTTGTTATGCCCTGATATGTAAAACCATAGAATTTTAAGAGGAAGAGAGAAAATATATAACAAACATACAAAATCCAGCACACACACTCTTTCACAAAACAGCAATTTCAAGTCTCACAGAATGTAATAGTTTTATTTAAAAACATGTCACCTGGGCGGTTTACTTACAGTACACGACCATACATTACATAAGCCTGCCACGACATTCCCCCGTTATTTTTTGCATAGGTGAGGTGTTTTTAAATAGAACTATTACATTCTTTGAGACTTAAATTGCTGTTTAATGAATGAATAAGTGTGCTGAATCTTGTAAGTATTATGATCATGTCCCGCCACCATGGAAGCCGAAAACCGGAAGTAATCAAGGTGCACCACATTGATTACTTCCGGTTTGCGGCTTCCACGGTGGTGGGACAACAGCACGTAGAATAAGTCAAGTGATTAATTGTTTAAGTTATATATTTGATGTTATTTTGAGAAAGGATCGGAATCAGGTCCAAAACTGATGCATGAATAAAAGTTTTTTCTCAAATTTTAAAGTCCTATGAAATATAAACTATTTAGTAGATATATCTCAAATGAAATGTATGTATTTAATGATCAATTTATATCTAAAAACCGCCAGCAAAAGCAGATCTCTTATTTGAAGCCATTGCAAGCAACCCATCCCCAGCATTCTTCACATTCTTCATGACTTTCTATGGCTGACCAAGCACAGACTTCCCAATAGAGCTCAATGAGAAGTATTTGCAAGACGGGTGTTCTTAGCAATTGCTGCCTCTTGACTTTAGCTCCACTGATCTAACCAAACCAGGAAGTAACAGGACCTGTGTTCTGATTGACATACAAGGTTAATTTTTTATTTTTTTTTGTAAAATTAAAAAAAAGACACACTCTTCAAACATAAGACAATTCTGCAAGGAAAAGTGCTTTAGGTGTTTGGAGTGTCCCTTTAAAGCAATCTGTTTACAGTCCATTTTTAATCTCTATGTATAAAAAAATTTTTTTTTACAAATTCCCCTAGGAATGTTCATTTAACGTAAATTATAGGTATGCTAAGTTACCTTTAGTGAGCAATACTTTATTGCAGCCAGCGCCAGCTGCACATCTAAGAATAGTTCCCAGGTTTCCGGGGTCACGGATGTTGTCACATATGAGTGACAGAGGAATAGAATACTTCAGATGTGATACTGGATAATTCATCTTTGCGTGATCAGGTTTTAAAAAGATACCTGGACAGAAATATGGAGTCAATCAGTAAAGTCAAGACAAAACACTGTAAAATTTAAAAATTGTTATGTTTATATTAAAAAAAGCTGACACTTTGTAAGAAGACAACTTGTGTGGCTGGCTCAAATAATCAAACTATTTTAAAGTTTTTTTTTTTAAACCAGTCTTCAATAATTCCGAAGCCACTGGCAATCCTGGAGCACCCCAATGGTACCAAATATGTAACAGATTTATGATTTTACCATGTTTTCCACTATGTATCTTTTACTATGACTAACACCGATATATTTTATTATGGTTTGTTTTTTTATATTTCTAATAAGGTGGAGGCTTTATTTTTAAATAATAATCAACATTGTTCCAACTCCCAGTGGTTTTAAGGAAGAGCACCAAAAGTACTACTGCATTATTATAATAATAACTTACATAGCACTGTTCTCTGATTTGGACTCAAAGTGCTTTAGGCAATATACAATAACCTATATAGAAGTTACATATTCTATTGCTGAAAGCCTTGTGTAAACAGGTTGGTCTCGAGTCGTTGTTTAATAATTTTCAGGGATGTGGCTTCTTTCACGGTGCTATAGAAAGTGCTCTACAGAGATGGGTCAACAAAGCTAAAAGCTCACTGCTCCTGAAAGATGTTCTAGTTCAGGCGTAGGCAACCCATGGCACTCAAGGCTGCTAGAGCCCAAGAGGCTCTGGTCAGTCAGGAGTCCTAGTGGAACTTAAAATATCTGCAAAAATGTGGTGAGTATCTATCCTCAATTTAAGCATTGCAGCACTTAGAGGAAGGGATCTGGGATCACTTCCTCCCAGCACTTGTGAACGGGAAACTGCACTGGAGTAGAGCAGCCCACAGCAGCTATCGCAGCTCCTGCCCTTGACCTGATCCTGGCCTGTCTAGTGCAGTCCCCAATGGACCCCAGGGAAGCTACCTACAATGCTAAATTGACACAAAGCTGCAGAATAAGCCTCACCCCCATACAATTAATACAAGCAGCATCCACACACACAGTCCCCACAAACATGAACCCACAAGCAGCCTCTCACATGCAATAGTTATTAAGCATTTCAAAAGTCTGATTTCTTTCTTTCCTTTTTAGAAATTGCAGTACATGCCCACAATCAATTTTAAGTGATTAACTCAACACACACTAAGTGGATAAGTAACACTTATTACACAAGCCATATGGAAATGGATGTTCATGACAAAGTATGTCTCCTAAGTTCAGATCAACTTTTGTAAACCTTGCTTTACTTGCGGGTCTCTCTTCTCACCTATTATACCTTGTGGAGACATCACATCAGACCACGTCTTGACATCTTCAAACTTCACTTTGATGAGTTTAGCTTGCTTTAATTTATCGGAGGGCAGTTCTTTTAAATATTCAACTCGGCTAAAAAAGAGGGTCTTTAGAAGAGCACCAGCCTCTAAAGCGTCCACCAGTAGTTTTCGGCCTTCAAGTAAAACCTGACCATGACGGTCCCGAAATTTTTTGGATTTCGCAATTGTAACCAGTTTGCTGTGTAAACATTAAGATATAAAATTTGTTGTAACAGCTCAAATAAATTTAAAACTATATGGCCATTATTTACTTTAAAAAAAAAAAAAATAACACACATTGCTCAGAATAGAAAGACATGGTTTTATGTCAATGCCCATCAAAACAGCACATCAAAACCTTGACCCAGCAGTACTTTTTTTTTCTCCTTTTCCTAAGATTTCTACAATGCATCCATGTTACACAAAATGATTTATTCTCTAAACAGTGAATTGTGAATTCCAAAATTCTGGCTAAAATAACCAAATTGACTACAGCTGAGTTGAAAAAACAAAAACCCAAAAAGAAAGGGTAATGATCAATAATATATGTCCAAAAACCATTAGAAAGTTTTTTAACCTATTTCACCAACTATTTTCCTCAACCCATTAAACATTGAAGTGTGTATTTAGGTGAATAATCCAGTTGAAGTAAATAAAAAAACACAGCCACAGTTGTGTTCAAAGAGCCTTTGCTTCCCTGTGATGTATCTGGCATACTCATGGACTCTTGGGCATCTACACAGAAATACTGTGTATGTGCTTGAACATTTTCTAAAATAGTACCATACTAATGCATGCATCCACATATAGCAGTTCATGGTGTTAATTTAACTTACATAGCATACCAGCAGAACCAGGTTTGCATTGTACGTGGAAAATTAAAAATATAAATTATAAATCAGTAAAACTTTTAAAATATAAATAGTACAACCAGTATGATGAATGTCACAGGTGGTAATTCCTTTTTAAATTAATACTCCAAGCACCATAACTACAACTCACTGTAGTGGTTTTGGCAAAAGCCCAGGAACACATCCCCCCTCAATGTAGGGAGTTTTTAGATAGTTTGACTCCTTAAATGGTGTCCTCCAGACGCCACTCTATGCCTCCACTAATAATGACAAAGACTTCACAAGCAGAAGCAGCTCTCCTGTACCAACTTCTAAGCTTAGCTACTTAGGATCTATGGCATCACTAGTAGAGGTGGGAAGCTGCACCTGGAAGACACCAGGTAAGGAGTCAAACCATACAAAACAAATTCTGTATTGGTTATGGTACTTGGAGTGTCCCATTAAAAGGACAAATTTGTAGAAAATGAAGGACATTCAAATATGACAAATTTTTATTTATTTATTTTAGGCATATTTTGCATTATTTTCAGTTGTGCACATGCAAGCGGATTATTCTAGACCAGGGGTTCTCAGCCTTGCCCTCAAGGACCCCCTACCAGTCCAGGGTTTAGGGATTACCTGGGTGTGTCTAAGGTGTTTAGAAAAAGGAAAAAAAACACCTTAGAGTCTAAGGTTTTTTTTTCTTTGCTTTTTCTAAACACCTTAGACACACCCAGGTAATCCCCAAATCCTGGACTGGTAGGGGGTCCTGAGGACTGGGTTGAGAACCCCTGTTCTAGACCAATGGTTCCCAATCTTTTTTCACTTGTGTGCTCCTCATATTAGCAAAATGTTTGTAAATAACACCGTAATGCTGTTACTGTGTTCTATCCTGTCCGCATTTAAATGGGCTAAAAAGCAGTTGTGTGGCATAGAGCAACCCAGACAGTTCCCCTGTTGCAAGTCCGACCAATATGGGGCTATGTGATAGCACTGACAATGTGATCACATGGACAGAATGGTTGTATCAAGTTCTGCCTGTGTTGTCAAGTAGTCTCCCAAGTACTGAAATAGAAAAAGTACACACACATATATACACACACACTAAAGAGACACTATAGTCACCAGAACAACTACAGCTTATTGCATTTGTTCTTGTGAGTAGAATAATTCCCTTCAGGCTTTTTGCTGTAAACACTGTCTTTTCAGAGAAAATGCAGTGTTTACATAACAACCTAGTGATAACTCCAGTGGCCACTCCTCAGATGGCTGCCAGAGGTGCTTCCTTAGGCAGTGCTGCAGCGTAAGCAGCACTGCCATTCAGTGTCTCCACCCTCTGAAGATACTTAACTTTCCTCCAAGAGATTCATTGATTCAATGTATCTCTATGAGGATATAATGACTGTCCAGGGCTGTGTTTGACTTGTGCTGGCTCTGCCCCTGATCTGCCTCATTGACAGTCTCGGCCAACCCTATGGGGAATGGGGAAGTATTGTGATTTGTTCAGACCACCACTTCTGCTGATGACAGCAGACAGGGGAAGGTCAGAGGCAGAGCCACCAGCTACAGACATGAATACAAGTAAGATTTTTACTAAATTTAGGGAAGCAAGATGGTGGTTTTAACACTGTAGGGTCAGGTTAACATGTTTGTGATCCTGACCATACAGTGCTCCTTTAACTTTTAGCCCCTTAAGGACGGAGCCAATTGCACACATTCTGATCAAAACAAAACCTAGCATTTAAATGTATATGTCTGTACAACCATAATTCACCTCTTTCACATATAAAGTGCACCCACACATATGTTATTCACAAGAAACAGGACTTTAATTTCATATTGAATATTTATAAAGATAATTTTATATGAATAAAATCAAAAAAAAAAAAAAAAATGGGAAAATTTAAAACGCCGTTATTTTCTTAGTTCCTAGCAGATTAACTGTGAATGCCATATTATCAGCTTTTACTGCAATAAAACACACACATTTGTGTTCAGTAAGGATTCACCAGTATGACTACCCCCCATGTTCAGGTTTTATGGTGTTTTGGAAAGTTAGAGGGTCGAATATAAGACTTGCCCACTTGCCAGATTGTTTAGGTTGTCTTGGAGACTGTGTGGCATCCCAGGAATGAGAATTACCCCCATCATGGCATACCATTTTAAAAAGTAGACAACCCGGAGTATTTAAAATGGTGTGTGTCCAGTCTTTGTTAGTGGGCACCTAGTCACAAACCCTGGCTAAAGTTAGTGTTCATATTTGTTGTTAAAGTAAGTTGCATCTGATTGAAAATGGAAACATTTTCTTCATGCAGGATGTGTCAGTGAAAGGCAGAGGAGGTGTGGCTAGGGCTACATAAACAGAAACAAAAGTGATTTAACTCCTAAATGGCAGAGAATTGAGCAGTGAGACTGCAGGGGCATGATCTATACACCAATATTGCTTCACTAAACTGACCTTGCTTTGATGACTACAGTAACTCTTTCAATGTGAAATTCACTTTATGAATGTGGCTGCAGAGGGGGCGGGTTGTGCAAGCACCCTAGATTTTGAGAAAAGAGTTGGCCTCCCACACTTGTATACACTTTGTTTTTTAGTATGGAGACTGGTGACAACAGTTACTCATTAAACTGTGCAATTTGGATAGCTGACAGGCAATTGCACAATTTAGACCAAAAGAGCCCCCCATATGACTATTGTGGGTTACACCATGCAATCCCCTTGTCATTCATTTTGTCCAGTTTAGGGAATAACCTTGCAGGGCTGCACATTTCATGTACTGCATCCTCTGTTGTAATGATACACAAGGTCATTATTACCTGAGTCTTTTGTCCCCAGGAGCAGCTTTCTCGTACTGCAGCTCTAGTGAGGTTTCATGTTTCTCCTCAGCCTTGCTTTTACCTCTGGCTGAGTACCTGGTGACCGGTTGTGCATTCTGGTCACTGATTACCTGGGGTGCTACCCGCTCCTCGCGGGTCTCGGTGACCCTTGGCACAGACTGGCCGTCCCCTGTGCTGCCCCCTGGGGGTATCACCCTCACTGGGGTCCTGCGCAGCGCTCTCACATATCGCTTTACTTGGATATTCCCACTACACCTTACTTGTGTCAGACCTGCACACCGCAGCACGCCTCTCATGAGAGCCGCCATGACAGCAGGTAACTCACAGGCGCTGACATTCAACGTCACTGGGGAGCAGGAGGCAGCCATATTGAGTGTGGCGGAAATACTGACACTTTCTACTTGTATCGCGACACATAAAGCGAAAAGTAATAGGTTTTTGCCCATAGAGTTGTAGTCTTTTCTTAGCTATGACTACAAGGCTTATGATCCTTCAGCAGCCACATTTCAACAAAATCAACAGAGGTGCCAGCGATTTCTTACTATATATTTAACTACCACCGTATAGTATGCACATTATTACTGTATTTATAGCTGCTACAAAGTATGTTCATTCTATTGATTCATTAGTGATATTATTCCTGGATCTGTCTGTAAGGTGGGCTAAGATGATGTCGTCATCAGTAGGCGCCGTGCTGTGATTCCCAGATCAGCCAGCAGCTTGCAGTGAGTGGCAGCAGGATGGGCAGCAGGAGAGCTCTGCACTATGTGCTCAAAGTGGGAGACAGACCGGCGACTGTCAGCTTTTACAGAGACATACTGGGGATGAAAGTAAGGGCTGCATTGTTTGTTACCTTTAATGTAATGTCAGGTGGCAAGTTCTGGCTATGATAAGGATTTTCCGATTATTGCACTTTCGCTGCAAATAAAAAAAGGAACAAATAAACTGTAATAGTACTATATTTACTTATATGGGATAATCTCGTAGTGTGTGTATATATATATATATATATATATATATATATATATATAATATAATTTGTTCTTTCTTTTTCTCTTAAGAACACAACCAACCAGATACAAAATTATAAAATATTGATACATACCATATTCGAACGAATATTAAAGGGTCACTATAGACTTGGAATTAAACGATTGTGAGTTAATGCATATAAATAATGCAAAGATAATATTTTTTATTTTTTTTATTTTTTTTAAACTCTCTCTTGAAAGCACTTTTACTAATAAGCTACAAAAAGGTGCAGCAGGGAATCCACTCCCACTCCAGAAAGAGGTTCTATTATGAGTCTGTTATTTTGGTCTTTTTTTTTTTTTTTTCTCTCCATATCCAATTAACCATTCCCCTGCTATCATGCTAGAATAGAATACAAAGTCTAAATTAAACAGATCTTGCAATTAAGGAAGTGTACACATTAAATCTATCTTTACAGAAAGCGTTTAGGAAGGACACTAAGTGATTGAATCCTCAAAGGGACCCTGTGTGCTGAGACCCTTTTGCACTTGGTGTTACAATATAAAACATTGTAGTTCCAGAGAACTGCAATGTTTACATTGCAGCTCTAAGACTGCCCTCTGTGTATCGCCCCACTGGGGGCGCTTCCAGAATCCAAACTGACTGTTGGTCCGTTATCTGATGTTGGATGTCCTCATGGACCTCCAGCGTCCGATTTCCCCCATAGGAAAGTATTGAATAATGCTTTCCTATGGGGAGGTTTAATGCATGGGCGGAAGCCTTACTCAGTGCCGAGGAGCATCGGTGCTGGATTCAGGTAAGTGGCTGAAGGGGGGCATTCCAGGCATCTTTAGTGCCAGGAAAACGGGTTTGTTTTCCTGGCACCAAAGGATCCCTTGAAATGACAGAGAATTGAGTAGTGAGACTGCACGGGTGCAATCTATACACAAAAGATGCTTCATTACACTAAAGTTGTTTTGGTCAGTACCTGTAATTCAAAAGCAAGAGAGTGACCGCTCTACAACACCGTCCCACTGTGCTTTTATAAAATCTAAAAGAGAAGACATTCTTACACCCTAAACCCTAAAACATGTTTTAGTGGTTTGAAGTCTTCCTTTTATATAACCAAACTTTAATGCTGTATTATTAATTGTTATACCGTTCCCTCAAAACAAAATTCCTATTGTGTTTGTAATTTTGTTCTTTTGCTATACGTCACAGACTGCAACATATATTGCGGTCTGTAAATATCAGCCACTCAGAAAAATGTGTGCAAAATGATTATATATTCATAAGTGATCACGTGAAAAGAAAAGTTGTAGTAGAAAGCTCTTTGTATGACTTTCCCTTTGTTACTTTGTCAGCACTTTGCAAGATTACTGCAGAATCACATGACAAACAAAAACGTAAAGTAAACATATTTAGTCTTATGAAATTTGATATATCCTAAAGGTATTTAAATGCTGTTTTCTTAATCTTGTAAGCCTCACAAATCAGTTGTTCACATGTTAGTAAAAAGACTCTTTGTCCCTTTAGAAGTGCCACTGTTACTTGTTTTTTTTGGGGGGAGGGGGTTTTGCATTTTTTTGCAAAGATGCACAAGGTGACATTCCTCACGGCAATCATTCCTCAACGTCATCTAGGAGCTATTATCACCATCATTGCACCCTCACACATTATACAAGAGTACAATATGGGGTCTATGGAAGATCCTGCAAGATACTAAAACAATATGACTAGGGGCTTTCCTTTACAAAATTGTTTTGGTGTGTAGTACATATTTAAAGGGACTCTCCAGTGCCAGGAAAACAATCTATTTTCCTGGCACTGCAGGTCCTCTCTCCCTCACACCCCCCATCCCAAGTTACTGAAGGGGTTAAAACCCCATCAGTGACTTACCTGTACCCAGCGCCGACGTCCCTCGGCGCTGGTTCAGGGTCCGCCCACACTCCTCCCCCACGGCTGACGGTGGGGGAGACCTAGTGCACGCTTTAGACCTCCCCATAGGAAAGCATTAATAATGCTTTCAATGCTTTCCTATGAGGAATTTAGCGACGCTGGAGGTCCTCACAACGCGGAAGTGCCCTCTAGTGGCTGTCTAGTAGACAGACACTAGAGGAGGAGTTAACCCTGCAATGTAAATATTGCAGTTTATGAAAACTGCAATATTAACAGTTGTAGGGTTAAGGCTAGTGGGAGTTGGCACCCAGACCACTGCAATTGGCAGAAGTGGTCTGGAGAGTCCCTTTAAGTAAACAAAAGCTAGCAAACAAAAAAGCACACTACTATAATACCAAGGACCACGACAGACATGGCCTTGAATCTCTGGGTTAAGGGCAGTGGTGTATAGTTCTGGGTAACACCTTGCTGGCTTTGCCCTTCCAATAGAAAACTTACTTTAAAAGGGATTCTATAGTATTTGGAATACAAATCTGTATTCCTAACTCTGTAGTGCCCTCTGGTTCCCCCTTCACGACCCCACCCCAGCATATAAAGAGATAAAAAAATGTTTTATTTACTTACACAATCCCAGCTCCCATGTCTCTCTGCACCGGGTCGGCAGTCCGAAGTCAGCAGATGAGGGTAGCTCATGCACTGCAAGCGCATTAGGCCTTCCCCATAAGAAAACATTGAGACTTTTCTATGAGGTTTTTACTAATGCTGGGTGTCCTCTTGCACAGCATGAGGCTGTCCAGCGTCAGTTAGGCGACCTGGAGTCCTGTAAACTCCTCTCTGTTTTACATTGCAGGATTAGGGAGGACCGGAACACTTCACCCAGACCACTTCAATGAGATAAAGTGATCTGGGTTCCTATAGTATCACTTGCATATCTCAAGTGGCACTTTGAGGGGTCCATCTTGGGCATAGAAACGTGAGAAATTATGTCTGTACAACAATCCCAGCTAGATATGCAAATGTGCGTAGGCATTGTGTTTCAGAATTCAAACTGCATTTTTTGCAGTTACCCTTTGCAATAGGCTCTGTTTTACACACAGCTTTTTAAAGTATGGGCTATAACCCAAAGCGAAAAGAAACCAGACTTTGACTGTGGTTTTTCCCTTTTAAATAGGAAATTTTGTCTGTTTTATACCCTCACTCTTGATACATAGGGGGTAAGATAGAGAGAGGAATCCAATTGGGAATCTCTTCTGTTTATTCCGATATTCTGGAGCCTCCTCTCATTTATGGTTAAACCCTTAAAGGACCACTATAGTGCCAGGAAAACATACTTGTTTTCCTGGCACTATAGTGCCCTGAGGGTGCCCCCACCCTCAGGGACCCCCTCCCGCCCGGCTCTGGAAGGGGGAAAGGGGTAAAAACTTACCTTTTTCCAGCGCTGGGCTGAGAGCTCTCCTCCTCCTCTCCGCCTCCGTTCGCCCCGCCGGCTGAATGCGCACGCGCGGCAAGAGCTGCGCGCGCATTCAGCTCTCATAGGAAAGCATTTACAATGCTTTCCTATGGACGCTGGCGTGCTCTCACTGTGAAAATCACAGTGAGAAGCACGCAAGCGCCTCTAGTGGCTGTCAATGAGACAGCCACTAGAGGATTAGGGGGAAGGCTTAACCCATTCATAATTATAGCAGTTTCTCTGAAACTGCTATAATTATGAAAAAATGGGTTAACCCTAGAAGGACCTGGCACCCAGACCACTTCATTAAGCTGAAGTGGTCTGGGTGCCTAGAGTGGTCCTTTAAACACTGCACATACATACTCTTACCACCATGATCACCACTTCAAATAACTGAAGTGGTCATGGTGGTTGGATTAACCCTTTAACTTTTCACATTTTCTATATTTTTTTTTTTTTTGTAATTCAGTTCATTACAAAATATTGATTTACTAGTTGAGCATCTATAAGTTACTTTACACAATAGCTTGATAATAACATGTACTCCCTTTAGTTTGTTACTTACACTGCGAATTCAGTGGATATGTTTCCTTCACAGGTCCTACGACATGAGGAATTTGAAGAAGGTTGCAAAGCCACTTGCAATGGGTAAGAACAATATTGTTAAACTATATTCCAGAGAATGCCTTCATTACTGGAACATTTAAAACACGCTTTATAAATCTGACTCCTGCACATCTGACAATTGTACACCGCATCATTTCTATTTAATTAAGACTAATCTCAAGCAAGCAAAACTAGTTTTAAATGTGAAATATATTTTATGTTTGTAAAGTTCTGTGGATTTACTTACAGTCAAATGGTATTAGTAAATGTGCAGAATGTTTGACTGTATGCCTAAATTGAGTCTTTCGTGTAGTCTGCAATGCTTAAAGTGGCACTCTAAGCAATTAAACCACTGTACATGTTGCCAAGAATCTATGGGCTCTCCCCACCATTATAGCTGTTTCTCATTCCAGTTGACTTGGTAATGCAGAATTTACACTTCTACATTACAGGTACCAATTTTGACAATTCTGTCTGAAAGTATTGGGTTGGCTGCACACAAGTTATTTTTTTTTTTTTGTATGTGCACATTGTACAGCAATCAACAAGTGTATCGAAGTTTTCTAGTTCAGGTAGGGAGCATGTTGCTGAGATACCATACGATTACTGATGGGATCATCAATTCAAAGAAGGCAGTATGATCAACTAGCATTCTTACAATAGGTTGATTCTATATTGGCATGGAGGCTGCCATTCTCCCAATTGTGTAAAATGAGCATTATGTCCCTTTATATGTTGGGGAAAATAAATGACCCTCTGTTCGTGTACATTGAACTAGTACGTACTGCTTAAAACAATGACAGAGACCTTGTGACAATACAGACATTTGGTATGAACCATCAGATGTATTAAATTGTATGTAAACCTTATAAACAAAGTTTCAGCCCTGCTATTTTGTATATCAAATAATTAAATGGTGAACACTATTAGTGCAAATATAGCTCACAGATCTGTATCAATGGGAGTGTACAGTAAATGAACTGGGACAAACCATACAATAACAATATGTTCCCTGTTGGGTAATTCTGCATTTTTGTTTATTTTGCAGCCCATATGATGGGAAGTGGAGTAAGACAATGATTGGTTATGGGTCTGAAGACAGCCACTTTGTTGTTGAACTAACCTACAACTATGGAGTTGGGGAGTACAGGCTAGGTAGTGATTTTAGGGTAAGTATGTATTTTGCTTCATTATTTATATTATGTAAACAAGAAAAATAGTTCTTTTTTTTTTTTGTAGAACTTGCACAAATCATGTAATAGTTGTACAATTAACAAAGCGTTGTGGTCACCTCATGTCACACACTAATGCTGCTCTTTCCGTGCTCAGTCTTGTTTACTCTGTATTAATAAACTTGAAACTTGATTTTACACTTCACTGAAATGAGCGTAACCGTAGTGTTAAAGGACCACTATAGACACCCAGACCACTTCAGCTCAATGAAGTGGTCTGGGTGCCAGGTCCAACTAGGATTAACCCTGCCTGCTGTAAACATTACCTATGGGTTAATCCAGCCTCTAGTGGCTGTCTCATTAACAGCCGCTAGAGGCGCTTCTTACTGTGATTTTCTTTTTTTTTTTTTTTATTCTTTTTTTTTCTGTGCAAGGTGTAACAATACGCTTGTACAGCCACGACAGCTGTGACAGGCCAAACAGTAACAATGTTAAACATCAGTGTGGCATACAATTGACAGCACAATTTTATGGTAATTAGGTGCAAAAGTCAGGTTGGTGCATCTTGTTTTAAAGGACATAGAGAGGTTAAACTAGTGCATCTGTTTGAGTTAGGGCATGAAGAGAACACGTTTGTTTAAGTATCTAATAAGCTCATTGCCTCCTGTATAGTAGGTCCTATATGCTATTAATGAAGAAAAGGGAAAGGAGTGGTATGTACATGCCATTTTTAGACTCATGAAGCGGTATGGTAAATACGTTTTACGCTCAAACAGAGTATGCTGACTTATAACCTCGTACAAGATACAGCCAGCTCCCTATGAGTAAACAGTGTATAGGGTTACAGAATAAAATTAAGGGTAAGCAATAAAAAGAAAAACAGCATTTCTGGGTCATTCCTAGTTTGTCAGGTTCCAGTTTAGCGACCGTATATTTTCCCTTTTTGAAAGGAATGAGTCCTGACACAGATATTTAAGCATCTGGGTTTTTACCATCCTGCTTAGGTAGTACTGTGCCATACAAGGCTTAAAGGTCAGGCCTAGAGATACCATAGGTTGCCTTTTGTATTTTACCGATATTCGCCCTTTCTAGTTGGCCAGGAGAGGACACTTAGTTAGTAAAAACATTCGGGCTAGACGATCCTGGCCAAGGGGTACCTATTAAGCTAAACAAAATTAACATGTCTTTGGTTTGAGCTCTGAGTGACTAGTTCAGATAACTATTTGAAAGAGTCAATTAGTAGTTAAGAAACTTAGGTTGGCCCATATGACAATTTTCAGAGGTGAGAGATAAAACTTCTGGTTCCTGGCTGGCATGTAAACTGTCATTCTGTCTGTGGGCTGGGAATTATGTACGAAGATACGTTGTATGGGGCTTAGTTGAGTATGTTGTGGGCTATGTGTTTGCTCAGGGTAGTGTTGTGCATAATTATCGTGTAAAAATTGAGCAGGTAGGAGGGAAGCCTATGCGATTTATGTGGTGGAGTCTCAGCGAGGTGGTTACTCTGTGCAGGTTAATTTGATGTGTGCACTTTGTGGAGTGTTGATTGTGCATACTAGGGGTAATGGGTGTCGAGTGCTGAGTGGGCAGGCAATGTTAAACGCAACGTTGAACTGAGAGTGTGACTTAAAGTATAAGTGGGGGTTGTAGTGCGCTGCCTTCTGGCAGTGGTGTACGTTTGTTATCTCGCTGGGATCTGGGCAAAGAGATAGGTAACTGCATAACAAATTAGGTCTAAATTATAGGCAGTCGGTCGGACTAAAATTATCTAACACTTCCTAGAATTGTAAGGTCCTCCGTGGGTGATTACCAGTCCTGGTGTGTGCGGGAGTAACTGTGCCAACAGTAGGGTTATTCCTGGCACGTCTCACAGTGAGCAAGATGGTGGGCTACGAATAGTGAGTGATTCATTCCTGCGGTATATACGGTCTTCAGGAAATGTCTCGCAGTGGGCTGAAGGAGCAGGCGAGGAGCTCTTCATGTCATGTAGGTCACGGTACCCTATGTGGTAACTGCGGCATAGGAGTCCGGCGTCGAGCCCTGGGGGAAGAAAGGTATGATCCATGTGTGTGCCGGGCAGCATGTCCTGCGGTATGTCAAGGGCCCATAGCACGGCTGGAGCTTCCTGAATGTCCCGGATGTTGTACGTGTCCGGCCCCTGCTGTACCGTGAGCGTACGGGGGGTGCCATCTGTAGGTGAAGTTGTGTTTCTGAAGCAGAGAGGTGAGCGGCTGGAGTGATCTACGCCACACTAGTGTGCCACCGGACAGATCAGCAAAGAAGGTCAGCACCATAGTGTGAGGAACTGACTCTGCTGGGTTTCGAACCCTGGTTTACATGGTGCTAAACCTCTTCCTTACCTGTACACCAGCCTGCCTTTTGCAAATTTACCTAAGATCTGATACCATTGCTTGTAGAGTCAAGATTATCAGTGACAACTCTCTTCAGCTGTGTCTGGTCAGGTGTCTGGTTCTTGGCCTATAAAAGCCACTTCCTGTCTCTGTACCTTTGCCAGATTATTGTGGTTCCTGTACTCTCTAATCAAGCGTGTTCCTGTTTCTCCTTCCTGTTGCTGAATTTGGACTGTTTTGACTTTGCTGCTTCTCCTTCCCACTGACCTCGGCTTGCCTCACTACGATTATCATCTTTCTGTTCCAGTCTCCCATCTCTGCTTAAGACCAGAAGGCCACTCAAGGCTCAGGGGCTCAACCACCTGGGTAACGCGTGGCTACCTCTGGCAGAAAACATTGCTGATCTGGCTACTGGACTCCAAAACTTTGTAACATCAATATCATTACAGAATAATCTGGCCCATTCATGGAGACCGTCGGATTCTGATTCTGCATTGGATTCTGCATTGGCCCAGCAGGTTGCTTTTAATGCAAGAACTATGCAGACCCAGGCACAGACCATTCAAGTGCTGCAGGATCAGGTAGCTAAACTGCAAAATGAAGTTCGATCAATGCATAGTGAGCTTACCAGCTACAGGGCACATGATGTTGCGGCTGCTGCTACTACTACTGTTACACCTGCACAAGATGCCCGCTTGCCTCTACCAGAAAAATTTGGAGGAGACCGCAAAAAATGTAGGGGTTTCCTAAATCAATGCCGTTTGCATTTCATGATGTTACCTAACCGTTTTCCATCTGAAAGAGAGAAGGTGGGATTTATTTTCTCCCTCTTCAAAGATGAAGCCCTGGCCTGGGGCTCCCCTTTTCTGGAACAGGACAGTCCAGTCTTGGGAAATTTAAAAGACTTTCTTGAGGCCATGTGCCTAGTTTTTGATGATCCCAATCGCTGTGCTACAGCAGAAGCCACTCTCCTTCATTTACATCAAGGGAGGCGCTCTGTGGCTGAATATGCTGCTGAATTCAGACAGTGGGTTACTGATACTACTTGGAACCAATCAGCCCAGAGGTTCCACTTCAGAAGGGGTCTCTCAGAAGCTATAAAAGATGAGCTAGCTCGTGTTGATCTTCCTGTTGAGTTTGATGCATTTGTGCGGTTGGCTATCCGTATTGATCGGAGACTTTCAGAAAGAAGATTGGAAAGACAGGGCTCTTTTAAACCAAGTGCTACTCCTACTTTCTATTCAAGAATTTCTACTCCGACCCCACAAACACCTACAGACTCTGAACCTGAGGCTATGCAGGTAGATCTAATAAGAGGGCCATTATCCAATGAAGAAAAACAGTGGCGACGCACTCACAATTTATGCCTGTATTGTGGTAGTGCAGGGCATTATGCCATCAATTGCCCTAGCAAGTCTAAAAGAACAATAGCTATGACTGCTGAGGGTGCACAGATTCAACACCAATCCCAGATTTCAGACCAACTGGATTCTGTCACACAACCCTTGTTTTCTCTGGCTCAGGGTGAAGAAGGTATGATGACTCAACATCCTCATTTGGTGGTGCATATCACTTTGCAATATGGTGATAATAAAATTTCAACTACAGCTATGATAGATTCCGGAGCATGCGGAAACTTTATGGACATTAAATTTACAGCAGGAAATAAAATTCAGTCTATCCCTAAATCTTCACCTGTGTTAATGGAAACAGTAGATGGTTCTCCACTTACGTCAGGCCCGGTTACACATGAGACTGTGCCCTTAAAATTGATTCTGGAAGTGAATCACCATGAGTCTATATCTTTCCACCTAATTTCCTCAACACAGTTTCCAGTGATTTTGGGTATACCCTGGCTTGCTCTGCATAACCCACAGATTGATTGGAAGACTAGAACCTTGTCCTTTCCTTCAGAACACTGCTTAATGAATTGTCAACCCTCTAAGGCGACACCTGTTACCACAACAATTAATTAAATGGTTGCTACAAACTTAACTAAGCTTCCTCTACAATATCGGGATTTTGCAGATGTCTGTGATAAGAAGAATGCTGATCAGCTTCCACCTCACAGGCCTTATGATTGCCCCATAGAGCTGCTACCTGGAGCTGCTATCCCATTTGGCCGTATATACTCCCTTTCTGAGCCTGAATTAAAGGCACTTTGTGAATACATACAAGAAAATCTTGCCAAAGGCTTTATTCGACCATCTACTTCTCCAGCAGGAGCTCCTATATTCTTTGTAGAAAAGAAAGATGGCAGTCTACGGCCATGTGTCGATTACAGGGACATTAATAAAATCACTGTTAAAAACCGTTATCCCTTGCCTCTCATTCCTGAACTTCTGGAGAGACTTCGTTCAGCTAAAATATTTACGAAGCTTGATCTACGGGGGGCATATAATCTGGTTCGCATAAGACCAAATGATGAATGGAAAACAGCTTTCAGAACCAGGTACGGACATTACAAATATCTAGTAATGCCATTTGGGCTTTGTAATGCCTCTGCAACTTTTCAGCATCTAATCAATGATGTACTACGGGATCTCCTGGATCAGTTTGTTGTGGCATATTTGGATGATATCCTGATATTTTCTGATAATCTTGAAAATCACAGAAAACAGGTCTGCATTGTTCTTGAGCGCCTTCGTACCCACCACCTATACATTAAACTGGAAAAATGTGAGTTTGAACAAACAGAAATTCAGTTCCTGGGGTATGTAATAACTCCTAAAGGTTTAAGTATGGACGCAAGTAAAATTAAAGCTGTGCTGGACTGGCCCATCCCCAAGAATGAAAAAGATATACAGAGATTTGTGGGGTTTGCCAATTTTTACAGGCGTTTCATTAAGAATTTCTCTGCCGTTATTACACCGATCACTGAACTTACACGTAAAGGGACTCCTTTTCAGTGGTCCAATAAGGCTGACACTGCATTTTCCAAATTAAAGACTCTGTTTACATCTGCCCCTATCTTGGCACATCCTCAGCCAGAATTGCCATTTACTGTAAAGGTAGATGCTTCTGATTCAGCTGTTGGGGCTATACTGTCTCAAAGGACTGGACCTAAGATGTTGTTACATCCATGTGCCTTCTATTCCCGCCAGATGTTATCAGCAGAAAGAAATTATGACATAGGGAATAAAGAACTTTTGGCTATAAAAGCTGCCTTCGCCGAATGGAGACATCTCTTGGAGGGAGCCACCCATCCAATTACTGTCCTCACAGATCACAAAAATCTGGAATGTATTCAATCCGCTAAGAGACTGTCAGCCAGACAAGCACGCTGGTCCCAATTTTTCTCAAGGTTTAATTTTTTTATTTCATACCGCCCTGGTTCCAGAAATGGCAAGGCGGATGCCTTGTCTAGGATAGCTGACCCCCTCCATACTACAGTAACCAAGGCCACCATCTTGCCGGAGAGTAGATTTTTAGGAGTTACCTTTCCTTCTGATCTAATGTCTCGCATTAAAAAGGGCTACTCTAAAGATCCAGTTTTTCGTGATCCTCCTCGTGATCTTCATATGACCATGCTTAATGGGTTTTGGATTTTTCAACAACGTCTGTTTGTTCCAGAATCAGTGCGACTGGACGTTTTACGCCTCTACCATGACTCTAAACCAGCAGGTCATCCAGGAATCCGAAAGACACAAGAACTACTTACCCGATCCTTTTGGTGGCCTAAATATTATGAGGATGTTAAGAAGTATGTGCCAGACATAAGACTACTCGCTCATCCCCTGTTGGCTTGCTTCAGCCTCTTCCGATTTCTCATCGTCCCTGGGGATCTATATCCATGGACTTTATTGTGGAACTACCTCCCTCTAAGGAACACACTACCATTCATGTTGTTGTGGACCGGTTAACTAAGATGAGTCATTTCATACCAGCTCGTGGTCTCCCTTCAGCTAAACAGACTGCTGACCTAGTTATTCGGGAAATATTTCGCTTGCATGGAGTGCCTGATGAAGTAATTTCTGACAGGGGAGTGCAGTTTACATCTCATTTTTGGAAATGTTTTTGTTCCATTCTAGGTATTAATGAAAATCTGTCTTCAGCTTTTCATCCCCAAAGTAATGGACAGACTGAGCGAACCAACCAGACTTTAGAACAATATTTGCGGTGCTATATTAGTTACCTGCAGGATGACTGGCTGGATTTTCTACCCACGGCGGAGTTTGCCTATAACAATGCCCAACACTGCTCCACTTCTCTGAGCCCATTTTTTGCCAATTATGGTTACCATCCAACCTTTCTAGTGAGTCTCCCAATTACTACTTCCATTCCTGCAGTCACTGACCGGCTAACCGCCTTACGAGATTCCCAAGAACTCTTGAAAGAGACTCTTTTGGAGGCTCAGGAATGTTACAAAAGGGCTGCTGATAGGCACAGAAAGGAGGCCCCAGTTTATCATGTTGGTGACAAGGTTTGGCTGTCAACAAAGAATCTTAAGCTTAGGATTCCTTCTCATAAATTGGGTCAAAAGTTCATGGGACCTTTTGAGATCATCGCTCAGATCAATGTAGTCACCTTCCGTCTGCAACTTCCGGATTCCATGAAAATACATCCGGTGTTTCACGTGGCACTGCTTAAACCTTTTCATGAAAATACTTTCCCTGGTCGAGCCCTGCCTGCCCCACCACCAGTCCTCGTGGATGGTGAAGATGAATACGAGGTGGAAAAAATTCTTGACTCCAGGATCTTCCGCAACAAGCTTCAATATTTGGTTCATTGGAAAGGCTATGGTGAGGAAGATAGATCGTGGGAACCAGTGGACAATATTCACGCTCCTGATCTTCTTCAGTCTTTCCATGCACAGTACCCTGCTAAACCAGGAAATAGGGCATCCAGAGGCTGCGCCTATAGAGGTGGAGGTAATGTGAGGAACTGACTCTGGTGGGTTTCGAACCCTGGTTTACATGGTGCTAAACCTCTTCCTTACCTGTACACCAGCCTGCCTTTTGCAAATTTACCTAAGATCTGATACCATTGCTTGTAGAGTCAAGATTATCAGTGACAACTCTCTTCAGCTGTGTCTGGTCAGGTGTCTGGTTCTTGGCCTATAAAAGCCACTTCCTGTCTCTGTACCTTTGCCAGATTATTGTGGTTCCTGTACTCTCTAATCAAGCTTGTTCCTGTTTCTCCTTCCTGTTGCTGAATTTGGACTGTTTTGACTTTGCTGCTTCTCCTTCCCACTGACCTCGGCTTGCCTCACTAAGATTATCATCTTTCTGTTCCAGTCTCCCATCTCTGCTTAAGACCAGAAGGCCACTCAAGGCTCAGGGGCTCAACCACCTGGATAACGAGTGGCTACCTCTGGCAGAAAACATTGCTGATCTGGCTACTGGACTCCAAAACTTTGTAACATCAATATCATTACACATAGTTCCAAAGTGGTAAGGGTTTTTTCCTCGCAAGGCCGCGAGTACTGCCGCTTTGTCGTTGTGAGTGCGGAAGGTGAGTATGACATCTCTGGTGGCTTTGGCCGGTGCTTTTTCTGGTTTGGGGACTCTGAAGATGTTGTCAGGGGTGCCCATCTTGACTTGGGCGGGCGGTATTATTGTTGTTAACAGGCGCTTCATGGTCCCCGGTAGCTCCGCTTCCAACACTTCCTCAGGAACCCTCCTGACCTTTATATTTAGCCTCCGCCTAGAGTCCTCCTGTGCTGCGAGGCGGCGGTCATATTGTTGGGTCTGAAGCTGCAGGTTTTGCACAGCTTGTTGGTGCGTGACTATGCTCTGGGAGTTGAATTGAGCTGTTCCTTCCAATTTAGTAATGCAGCCTGTCAGATCCTCCCGCAGTGCTGTGACATCTGAATGGATGTATTGCTGGAGGTCGGCTAGAAGCGCTTTGAGGACTGCCGTGGTGAATGGTTCGGTGTCAGTGCTTGTCGTGCTATGTTTCGCCCTCTGTTGTGGGGCTGGAGTCTGCGGGTATTCCTCTTCTAACTCCTCCGAGAGTTCTTCGGAGAAATCAGAACATCCGCCATGTAGCGCCGCCATATTGTGGTCATTGGCACCTCGTGCTTGCCGCCACATCTCCCGATTGTGAGCCCCGGGGTGGGCTTGTTTGATACCGTTTTTTTCCCGCCCCATGTGAGTTCTGGGTACGTTTCTGTCACTCGAGGGGGAGTGGGGGGGTCAGTTCAGTCTTTAGTTTCAGCGGGTGGTGTACGGAGCTGTGAGTACTTATTTATTTATTTATAATTGTATTTATTTATAAAATATTTTACCAGGAAAGATACATTGAGATTTCTCTCGTTTTCAAATATGTCCTGGGTCCACAAATCATTGCATTGTTACATTAGGTACAACAAAATACAAAAACAATATTAATACACAATATATACAAAATTTAACATAGAACAGGCAGGAAATATATAATCAACCATGACACATGCATTCTGTTTTGAGGTATGTAGAGAGGGATCTCTTAAATGACTTTAGGCTTAGGGAAGATTTTAAATTGTGCGGGAGGTCGTTCCACAATTGCGGTGCTCTGTAGGAGAAGGAGGATCGGGCCGCTTTCTTTTTGTATTGAGGTAGACTAAGTAAAGTGCTTGTACTGGATCGGAGCTTATAGAAAGTGGGAACAGCTGGGGAAAGCATTTTGTTCAGGTAGGGTGGGAGTTTCCCAGAAAAGCTCTTAAAAACAAGGCTGGAAAGATGAAGGGTGCGTCTGGATTCCAGCGACAGCCAGTTTAGTTCCTTTAGCATGTCACAATGATGGGTCCTGTAATTACATTGTAGCACAAATCGGCAGAACGAGTTATACAATGTGTTGAGTTTATTAATGTGGGATTGCGATGCAGACGCATATACTACATCCCCATAATCAATGATTGGCATCAGCATTTGCTGTACAATCTTTTCCTTTACTGTAGGGCTTAGGCAGGCTTTGTTTCTGTACAGGGCACCTAATTTTGGATAAAGTTTAGATGCAAGCTTTTCTATGTGCAGGCCAAAAGATAGATTGGGGTCTAATATCATACCCAAGTATTTGAAAGAGTGGACTGCGGTCAGTGTGCCATTTGAATTTGTTTTGATGGATAGGTGGGGATTGTGTAATTTGTGTAATTTAGGTACCGTTCCAAAGATCATTGTGACAGTTTTGTCAGTGTTCAGGAAGAGTTTGTTTTTTGCGATCCACTTTTCTACCTCTGTAAACTAGTCTTGGAGCAAAGCCTCAAGTTGCGGTAGATCGGATTTGCTCGCATAGATTACTGTGTCATCTGCGTACATGTGTACATTTGAGGACTGGCAGACATTAGGCAGATCATTTATAAATAATGTAAATAGTAGGGGGCCGAGAATGGAACCCTGGGGAACACCATACGTGACTGGGAGAGGGAGGGAGTCACTGTCAGAAATGGACACATATTGTGAGCGATCCGATACATACGATCGAAACCAGTTTAAAGAATGATCACCAATACCTGAGTTTTCTAGTTTGTGCAGTAGAATGTCGTGGTCTACTGTGTCAAAGGCCTTAGCAAAATCAAGGAAAATAGCTCCAGTTAGGGCTCCTTGTTCCATGCCAGTTTGGATGTCATTGCAAACTTTTAGGAGGGCAGTTGTAGTGGAGTGATTCTGGCGAAAGCCCGATTGATCAGGGGTCAGATAGTTTAATTGTTGTTAGTACTCACAAAGTTGCGTATGGACACATTTTTCTAAGATTTTTGACAATACCGGGAGCAATGATATTGGGCGATAGTTAGAAACCAAAGTAGTGTCACCACTTTTATGGATAGGCACTACTCTCGCAGTCTTCCAAAGTTTGGGTATGTATCCAGACACCAAGGATTCGTTAATTAGAGTTGAGACGGGTTTAGCAATTGCCGGCGCACTGAGCTTCAACAGCATTGCTGGAATTTGATCAGGTCCGGACTGGTTTTTCATTTTTAGATTATTAAGATTAATGACACTAACAGGTACAGGTCTAAAATTAAACTTATCTATATTGGGCCTTTGCAAATTTAGTGGGGCCTGATCCACATTTGTAGTTTCAGGATGCGTGTCATTTATTAGCTTGGCAATCAGGGCAGTAGAGCATCCGACAAAATAATTGTTAAAGGCATTTGCTACATCTAAGGGAAGTTGCAGGGTTTGGTTACCCACTTTGACAGTGGAGGGTTGGGAGTGGATTGGGGGAGTTTGTAGTTTATTTATGACTTTCCAAAAGTTTCTAGGGTTTGAGATGTTACTGTTCAGATTTTCATAGAAATATTGGGCCTTGGCCAGTTTTGTCTGTTTTGTGCATATATTTCGCCATTGTCTATATGCACCGTGATCATTCATAGAGCCAGTACGCTTAAACTTTGACCACAAAGAATCCCGAAACTGGTACATTTGGATGAGGTCAGCTGTGATCCAGTTCATATGCGCTCCTTTTACCCTCACCTTACGCAGCGGGGCATGCAAATTCCAAATTTGTAGGAGTTCAGACTGAAAGTATTCAACAGCACAGTCTAGATCTGGGATAATGTTTAATCTGTGCCATGAGAGATTCTTGATGTCATTTAAAAAGGATTCAAGATTAAATTTTTTGAAGGACCTAGTTATTTTAACCTTGGGAGAGGATTTAATAGCCTTTATTTTGCGCATGCAGTACACTAAACAGTGATCACTGAACGTGTTTGGCAGAACACCAACCTCCTGGATTCTATCAGGAGAAGTGGAGAGAATCCAATCTAGCAGGGTATGGTTATGGCTTTTAATGTTTATGCGAGTTGGGGAGGAGATTAATTGCGTTAGCTGCAAAGTCTTAAACAGCGTGCAAGAACTATTATTTTTAGGGTTCAGCCAATCAATATTAAAATCTCCAAAGACCAACAGTTCACTTTGGTTTCACTAAGGAGATGGGCTATGTCAGAATGGGGAATGCTATGGGAATGCTTCTGACATGGGCTATGTCAGAAAGGGAATGCACAGGCGGTAGATTCCTGCAACAATGATTGATTTACTGCACGGGATCTCAATTGTGCCAGACTTGCGACCGTTCTCTTCAGCGTTCAGGCTCCTCCCTTTCCTCACTGTGATTTTCACAGTGAGAAGACTCCAGCGTCCATAGGAATGCACTGAGAATGCTTTCCTATGGACTGACTGACTGCAGCGGTGGCTCTTGCTGCGCATGCGCATTCAGCCGATGATGGACAAAGGAGGAGGAGAGTCCCCAGCGCCGAGGGAGCCCGGCGCTGGAGAAAGGTGAGTGTTTAACCCCCTTCCTCCCCCTTCAGCCCGGCGGGAGTGGGACCCTGAGGGTTGGGGCACCCTCAGGGCACTATAGTGCCAGGAAAACTAGTTTGTTTTCCTGGCACTATAGTGGTCCTTTAAGGATAATCACCGTAACACTAAAACCGTTGTATTGCCCAGCATATAAATAAGCTCTGTCTATATATTTTTCATTAAACATAATAATACGTTCTCCCACTGCTTTAAATTATTGATAACTGTTGCTGACTACATCAATTTTAAACTTTTTGCCTAAATTACAGAGTTTATGAAGTTGATGAAATTCAGATTCACTATAACAATATGAGATGTAAATTTTCAATGAAAGCAGAGCAATTCTAAGTTAACTGCTCAACATCGCCAAATACAAACATTTAAAGTGTCACTGTCACTTCTGATTTTGGTAGAACCCACAAAAGGTGAAGTGTGTTTTCTCAAATGTGATAGAAATTTTGTGCTTTAAATAAAGAAGACAAAAAGCCATAGCATACAATTTACACGTGGTGATCCACATTAAACTACAGAGATACTCAAGCGTGCATGCATTGAACAGAACTTCCCATGTAGATACACAAGTACATAAGTGTGATCACAGTGTGTCATGGAATAATAACATCACACACTGTGCTAGGAGGTATGTTTGATATTTACTTCCACTAAACTCCTTAACCTTGGAAGATTTTTAACAGCATTTATTGGATGAAAGAAAGAGACCCTGTCAGAATATTGACCGATCTTCTTTAAGCTATTTTAGCTATTTTATTTTTTATTTTTTTATTCTTTATTTATATTGTGCAAGTGATAACAACAAAGCTTGGTAGGCCACGACAGCACTTCCCAGCAAAGAAACATAGTCATGGCATTCAGTTAGACAGCACAGTTTTGTAAAAGTCTAATCTGTTAGAAAAGGTGTAGAAAGTAGTGTTCTCTGTCAGACATTTTGAGTAGTACATAAGTTTGAGGAGGAAATATAAGTTGAGAAAACGGGTAGGCCCCCCAGACTGACTATTCATGTAACCGTAAGTTTGTTCAGGCTAGGCACGGCTCTTTAAACATATTCTACTGAGTTTAGATATTAGCACAACATTAGCTAATCACACAAGAATTGTAGAGACTTTGTTAGGTGGCAGCAAGAGTATGAGTGTCTCAAGATGCATATGCCTATCATGGCAGAAAAAAGGAAAATGAATGGCAACATAACGTAAAGCATACAGTCAGCTGGGTAGGCCAAGGTTTCTGGTAAAGTCCACTAGTGCCCTGCAAAGTGGGTCATCTGTTCTGGCAGCCTGATACCTCTGGGTTATCCCTGCAGGCACATCCGCTATGTAGTCCGCTCCTGCCTCCCATTGGTTATTGGAAGCCCCTCTGTGTTGTGTGGTCTGGGTAATACCATGCTGCCGCTGGTTCCCCGTGGCCAGCAGTGGGAATCCTATAAAAGCTCATCTCAAGGCCCGGGAAGGTAATCATGGAGACCAAGCCCGATCCGTAAGACAGGGACTTCCAAGAAGGGCCATCGCTTGTTTTCAGACTTGTGAGTCATAGGTAGGAGTTATACTGAGCAGGCTGTTGTTTCTTCCTGCAGGCAGGCAAAGCTGTGTTGCACAGTATAGGCCGCATTGCCACCATTTTAGTGACCAGATGCGTGATGCACAATGCCACGTAGGCTTGATGATGGGCCAGTGCAAGGCGGTATTTCCCTCCAGAGGGGAACGGGAACCGCAAGGCGCATTGCAAGGCCGTTGCATGACAGCCAGTCAGTCCCGCTCTTCACCCTCATAGGCCACAGACCCCGAAACCGCATATCGCCCACAGGGGCCCGGAAACTCCTGATCTCAGGGACCGCGGTGGCTCCGGCAATTGTCCAGATACTTGAGACAACTTTTGTTTACCAATATTGCTGTGATGCTTGGGTTTTGTGCCACAGGGGACCAAATTTGTCAGGAGCCTCTCCAGTCCGTGACCGGTCAGCATGGCGGTCGGGCACCGCACCCTATTTTAGCTATTTTGACAGTTTGTCTTGTTTCAGTGTTGATAAGCTGCTCTATGAATCTGATATAAATGTTTTTGTTCCATGATTTTTATTGGCAGGGTTTGACACTTCAATCAAGCCAGTTTGTGGCTAATGCAAGAAGGTTAAATTGGCCTCTCTCTGAAGTATCATCTGGACTGTTTGAGACAGTGGCCCCAGGAGGTTATAAGTTCTATTTGGAAGACAAAGAACAACCCAAAACAGGTAGAATATTTAATAACAAGCTATGTCAGAGGTAATTAAAATTAGGTATGTCTCTTTGTTCAGTGCATATATTACTTGGCAAACCAGTGCCATTTAAGAATTCTATCATCCTCTTTTCCCCTTCATCTTTTTTTAATAAACACTTCAGGCACCATAATGGCTTTATCTCAATAAAGTTTTCATGGTGTCTGGATGCTGTCTTAGCTTGGTTTGAAAGGTTTTTCAGTGGTCTAACCCCAAAGGATTCTGAATCTGCATTGAGATTCGCAGCTAATCACCGTTATAAAAGTACATAGATTTAAATAAAAATGGTTTTGAATAATTTGCATTCCCCACCCAGAGTTAAGTTGCCGCTGAGAATCACAATTATTTAGAACAGCATATTTATTACCTTACATGTTTTGTACTTATTGTAAATAATTATTCACAGGATGAGCCCTTAAAAGGTTACTCCAAATTTATTTATTTTTTTACATATATATATATTGCCCTTTTGAGCACTATATGATAGGTCTACCACTTTTATTGCATTAAAAAAACGCTAACAATTGAAGATTATGCTAGCTTTCGTGTACTAATTTTCTTAATTTTAATAATGACAAGAGGGGAGTATTTTACATTACCTTCCTTTACTACTTCATTGCAACAAAGAACATATAGAAAAAGGAACCAATCCAAAACCGGCAGATAGTATAATAGGCCCTTCCCACTGAGGCACTTCCTCTTGATAATAGCGACATCACAAGTAAAGTTAAGAAACATAAGTAATGAGAGAAAGAGTCCAAACTTAAGGAACGATGAATAAGCCGTTGTAAAATTCATGGCAACTTTGAGCCAGGATGAGACTGTGAGTGGGTGCTTGACTTCGACGGGCTTGCTGTGATGTATTAAGCTGAAAGAGACCAAGAAGGTTTTAGTGTTATGTAATATAGCGTGAAAAATACTAGCAACCATAGACATGAAGAGACTTGAAAATTCCATCTATTACCATTAATTATGAATATATAAATGAGAAGTGCAACAATCGGTAAAGACGTCCATAAATACATACCAAGGACATAGTAAAAGAACAACGCCATTACTAAGTTGGGTGCATACCATTGAGTGTAATCATATGTAAACCATCCTGGCTAACCCAGCTCCAGGGAAGGGAAAGTGATAGGGCGGGCGAGGGGCGAAATACTTGCCTCCTGTCATTATTAAGATTATTAGTACACTAAAGCTTGCATAATCTTCAATTTTATTACATGACAGGAGGCTTCATATTTTGCAGTTTTAACGCTAAGGTACGAGTGAGAAGGCGTCATGAGAAGACAGGCGAAAGTAAAATGTCCGAAAGGTGGTTTCCTGTGACCAGTCTGCCGCAAGTAAAATGTCCTGTAAGGAGGACCCTGCCACGAGGGCGGAAGAGGTCGCCACATCGAGTGAGCACCGAATTAAGGGTCAATCCAGGCCATATCACTCATCTGCTGGGGCTCACGCAGGAACGTTTCTCTAATGAAAGGATTGGGGTCCCATGTGCCATCATCTGAATTGGAGTCATCCGCTTGCCATTCGTCAAGGATGGATAGTGAGGGAGGCGTACCGTGCTCCTCGTCTTAGGAGACAGTATGAGTAGTGGGAATCACTGGCCATGTCAGTCTTCCCTTCTTAAGGGAAACCTTCCCTTTTGAAGGTTTTGGCTTGGACCCTACGTCCTTCCAATGGCATTTTGCCCGGCGTCCATGGTCCTTGGATGAGGAGTCTGAGTCATCAGATACCGCTCTCCTTTGAGAATGCTTAGACCCTTTGGTAGTGTCCTGAGTGGTCGGCAGCACCTTAGCCAATGCCTTCTCCACCTGATGTGGCAACCGCCGTGTTAATCAGTGCTTGAAGATTAGAGGGCATCTGTGAATCTGGGAAAAGCCTGTCGAATATGGGAATCTGGAACAGCCTGTCGAACCAGTGAAATCTACAGAACACGAGTGGTCTCTTGGTAGATTAGTGCCCCTGAACCAGGCGAACGCTAACGGCGTACGAAAAATGAATGCTGGGCGGGGGGTGGGAGAGTCCCAATGGCACCTCACGCCCCCTGATGGAAGTGTGTAGCGGTGTGAGAGCTCTCCCGGAGTGTCGAGCGTAGCCACAGAGCAGAGGGGGCATAAAGGCAACAGGGAAAAAATCCTGGAAGGAAAAGTGGGAGTGGGGAATAGTAGGGAAAGGGGGGGATACAGCCCAGGTTACCCAGCAAGGGGTCCCTAGATGAAAGGGAGCCCACAGACCCAACGCTCCCTACAAGAAATATATAAATATAATACCACAACCAAATACAGATATAAAAATCAATACATATACGTTAAATAAAACAAGACAAGCCCAAAGTGTTAGATACACAATATTCTAACCTGACTTGTGATGGAGCAGCAAAGAAAGAGGAAGTGTCTCAGTGGGAGGGGCCTGTTATACTATCTGCCTGTTTTTGATTGGTTCCTTTTTCTATATGTTCTTTGATGCTATGGAGTAGCAAAGGAAGTTAATGCAAAATATGAAGCCTCCTGTTGTGTAATAAAATTTAATTTAAAACTTGCCAGGAATCCTGCACTGGAGGATCTTCCATGCCCTATCTCAACATCAAGCTGTATCATTGTCTTCCTCTCTTTGGTACAATTAAATGCTTCTCGTAGAGCAGCATTTGATTGGACCATTTTGCATGCTTAAAAGATAAATGAACACTTCACCTTGTAGGCACTACCTGCAAGGGATATGCTAATTGCATCCGTTGCCAGCTATATCATTCATATAATTATTTTTCAATATACAATGTTTTTTTTTGTTTGTTTTTTTTAACCACTGCTACAATCTAATATTCTGCCAATATATGTATATATTTTTACTACTACTATATCTACTTGCACTTACCCGGAGTGACCTGGGGTCACCCATTGGTGTTGGGAAGTGACCATACAGGATGTATAACGTTGAGTATGGGTGAGGCTGTATATGTGTCAGGGATATTAATCTAATTTTGAGATGAAATATGTCTACAGGGACTGATTGGATTATAAATCAATTGCAGATTTCACCTCCTCTCAATACTTATATTAGCGTCATTTCCAAATCAGTTATATCCTATGATTGCTGTGGGCATGCACTAATGATCCTCTCAGGGTTAGAGTAACTGGACAGGTGAAATGCAACTATGATATTTATATTCTAGTATTTGTGATCTTGATTTCACTATTGTTCACTTACCCTACAAGTATATTGTTTTAAGGTCTTTTTGGCAGGTTGTGTTTTTTTTACTGTGATAAAAGCTGACCATTTTTTGATTATTTTGTTGTTTTTTTGTTTCTTGTTTTGTCCATCTTCCATCAAATTAAAATCTCTACTAATTAAAGGGATAATCTAATAACCAAAACACTATAGCTTCCATGTCTGTAATGTCCTTTTTCTGACACTCAAGTGTAATTCTGTTATGACAGGAATATATGAAGAGTCATATATAAAATTAACAACACCAGTAACTTTTAGTCATTGGTTTAAAATATATTTGTCACAATTATGACCAATCTGATATTTGTTTCCATGGAGCAGTAGTGTAATCTGAATTCTTTACAGATCCAGTGCAAAAGGTGACTCTTGCGATATCAAACTTGCAAACATCTATATCCTACTGGTCTGAACTGTTGGGAATGACGATTTATAATAAGGATGAAGTGAAAAAGAATGTTCTTTTGGGGTATGCAGATAACCAGGTAACTACAGCTTTTAATCTGTTTTATTAATCCTAGTAATGCAATTACTAAATGGATGTATGTTCATGTTGTAATTTAAAATAGTAGAAAATGGATAATAAGAAAAGTCCAAAAACACACAAATAGAAATGTTATCTTATTAAAGATTCCCACTTGTGAAGCACAAATGAGATTGAGTTTAGTATGTCCTTGATTTAATAAGGAGAAATAAGCATAAGAAATTATTTCAATCTGTTAGAAGAAAAAAAAACCTTGAAATGATTTATCAATAAAATCATATGTTGAATTCTGTAGGTAAATGATTTGAAAAGTTTATTTTATTTTGGTTTTGTGGGTTTTTCTGATAGATTGGAAACTTTCTTATGCTGATTTCTCCTTATTAAATCAAGGACATACTAAACTCAATCTCATTTGTGCTTCACAAGTGGGAATCTTTAATAAAATAACATTTCTATTTGTGTGTTATTGGATGCAGATTCAAATGAATTAAAAGGGACGCATCATTTTTAGACAACTGCCTCATTCAAAAGCTTTAGTTTGCCTCGCTCTGCAGGCAGAAAAACAAAGCAGGTAAATAGGATTTATTTGTATAACGGAGCTCCTGTACTCCGACTTATTACCTCCGACAGGTCAGCTTTTTCACTGCTACCAGGGGACTCCGGAGCGCTTAAGATCAAGTTGACGAAGTTTGATTGGGATCTCCTCCACCATCTTAACGTGTCCTCAGGATCAGGAACAAGTGTAGCCAGCCAACCGGTCCCACAATTCTGTTACTGTAATCAGCCCGGACACACAATTCCCATTGGAACTAACACATACACTAGTTTATTTGGGACAAACCTTTGGTGACTTGTCCTTAAGTATGTGGTGAAATCCATATAAATATAAACAAACATACATAACGTGAATAACAAGCAACATAATAATGCATCAAATATAAAATACAATTACAACTTTCTAACCAATGGACAAACAGAGATCTACAGATGTAACTGGTTAGTTGTTTGCAAATTCCTAATTTGCAGATTGCAATTATAAAAACCAATCCATTTTTCAGTTTCACCAACAGAGGGCTCTGGAAAGTCATTACATTTTTTTTTCTTTTCATATTTACCTGCTTATTCTTTCTTTATGTCTTGCACACCCACTCCACATGGGACACTCATCTATCCAATTAGTGTTGTATACCTAGGAATGCTGAAAAAGTCAACAGGGCATGCCTGACAGTCACGCATGTGCAGTTTGAAGATCTCTTCACCTTGAAACATCCTGACGGGTAGAAGAAAGGGAGTTTGATCAGTGTAATTCATGCAATTATAGATTATGCTAGCTTTAGTGTAATATAATATGAATTATAATCTTAATTTTATTAATGACAGGAGGTGAATATTTGCTTAAGTGTCTCTTTACTAGAACTCCACAGCAGCACAGAAAAACAACCAATCAGAAAAAAAAGTTAGGTACTATAAAACTCTCCTCCCCATGCATCATTTCCTCTTTCAAGCTGCGACAAAAACAGAATAAAGGCAGAAAAACATAATGGGGAAGAAACGAAGTCCTAGATACAATGAATATAACAATGTCCACCTTCCAAGAAGAACTGCCTCACCAGGTAGTGTTGATGGACTGTAAACTGAAACGAGAGAAAAACAGAATCGAACAGGTTGATTATCCAATGGAAAGTACTCTGAATAAACATATAGGTACCCAATGTAGCAACCAAAATTACCTTAATATGTAGATATCCCAACCATACTTATGAAAAACAGACATAAAACAAGTGACAGGTAGCAGAGACAACAAGCAGAGTTGCATACGTACCTGATTAATCCAAACTATTAAAATTAAACAAGGGAGGGAAATACTCGCCTCCTGTCATTAATACAATTAAGATTATAGGTACACTAAAGCTAGCATAATCTACAATTTTATAACATGACAGGAGGCTTTGTATTTGCTGTTTCAACGCTCCGTCAACAAATCCAATGCGGTTGTTTCGCTGGTACCTATTCCGGGAGATATCAGAGCAACCCTAAATGGACTTTCCAACTGCGATAAATAACAGTAGACGGATCGATGAAGATGCCAGCTGACGAAGCATCCCAAATACGGAAAAAAACACCATCCGCTAATAGATCCATTGTATGTGGGATTGCGACCTGTCTCCTAGCAGTCGGTCCGTGAGCTGCCAAGCTGACCTATTAGCCCTTTTCCTGTAGTTGTAAAATGTTGAAGGTCATTTGCGGACTTTGGGCCGTGAGAAGAAACTGCCACCATGTCTCAACTCTTGATGTGTAATGTGGCTCCTCCGATCGTGCCAGGGTCATCCGGAGATGTGGCCTTGCAGGTAGATCTCCAATCTCAAGTAATGCGCCTAAGTCCACCACCAATGCCGTAATAGAACCGAGACTAAATTTATTATGCAGGCAAGAGTGTGGTCAAACTAGCTGTATCCTAAGTGATTCCAATATTCCAAATGGATTGTATTATCCTCTGATGTGGTAGAGAAAAGACTCCAAAAGGACGTCCAATCAGGGTCCCAAACTGAACTTGTGTGGTGGAACGGTGATCGACTATTCTGGGTATAGTGAATCCCAGAAATATTCAAAGGGATGGGAAACGTAAACCAGAGTTGAGATTTCCATCCAGAGATGACATCGTCTAAGAGTGATAACATGTACGGATCCAATGGTGATTGGGACCTCTATAACCACAAAGAGTCCTCAAGTGCTGTAGCAAGAGAGCGAAATAATCCGATTACACGTAGTACGATCCTGTTCCAGCGCGACCTGTCAAAATTTGTGTAAGGGTTCCTGGTCTACACGCCACCTACAAGATAGGGTATAATATAGTGAGTCCCCTAGTTCCCTGTACCCCTGACTGTCCGGGCAAGTATCTCCCAGATAAAAAGTAAACGTGCTGTGTAAAAGGCGCTTAGAGAATGTGGATTATAGTACAATTCACAGTAAAATGGTAGCAGCTTACACACCAAAAGTAGGAACTCTTCAACCTACTCACAATCAAATGTATAAAGAAAAACACTATCGTGCAAATACATGCAAAAACAGTGCAAAGGTGGAGCGCTTCAAAATTAAAACACTTACTCCTGCAGATTTCAGGAGATAATGAAATTGATGGTAATGAGATCCTTTAAATCACCGAGGAACCTCAAAATGGAGACAAAAAGTGGGAGAAATAGGGAAGCAAAGCTAACCCTAGTGCAGAAATCCTTAATATAATAGGTAGCCAGGTGAAAAAAATAACGATTTACTTCTCACCTTATCAGGAGCCTTTAACTGGGCTCCAAGTGTATAAGCACAGTGTCAATTATAGAGTGACACTTCCCTTCTTGATAGCAGCATAAATATATCACTAGTCAACTTGGTAAAAGAAATGAACATTTATTATAACTTGTTAAAAACAAATAAATGAAATCTGTATACTCAAGTGCCAGTGCTGTGTCCAAGACGCGTTTCGCCAATATGTTGTTCGGCTTTATCAATTGGTAAATGAAATGCTGCTAAGGTAAGATTTAAATACCCCCTAATAGGGGGTTGATTGGAGGAGAACGTCCGTGGTACATCCAATCACAGCGCTAATCCTCATACAAGGTTCAGCTGATTATAATATCTCCGATACTGTGACGTCATCACGCACGACGTCCCGTGCGCGTGACGTCACATACGGAAGTAAACTGTGATCGTACACTCGTTCATATTGCATCACATACAAAAACTGTGATTATACAATTATAGGACATCCTTTCTATCAAAAAAAGTTCTGTTTAATCAAATCCATTCATCCAGTCCTTAATGATGTTGCGACCATTTTGCTTGATGGCAAGTATGTTGAGTGTCCTCAATAGTGTTGCGGCCATTTTGCTTGAGGGTAAATCTACTGAGTGTCCAAATTCAATCCACTGATTGTCCAATATCTCGGAAATGTCCATTAATATAAGTAAATCCCCGAAGTTTTAGTCATAATAAAGAGAAAGGGAACAGTAATTTAGAGGGGTGCATATATTTGTAAGAGGCAATTAGCATTAAAAAGTATTATAACTTAATTAAGAAATGCACACAATATGGTCATTATGATGACTTATTACTTAAAAATTAAAATTTCCTCGGTGATTTAAAGGATCTCATTACCATCAATTTCATTATCTCCTGAAATCTGCAGGAGTAAGTGTTTTAATTTTGAAGCGCTCCACCTTTGCACTGTTTTTGCATGTATTTGCACGATAGTGTTTTTCTTTATACATTTGATTGTGAGTAGGTTGAAGAGTTCCTACTTTTGGTGTGTAAGCTGCTACCATTTTACTGTGAATTGTACTATAATCCACATTCTCTAAGCGCCTTTTACACAGCACATTTACTTTTTATCACATTGTTCTATTTTACTCTTTCAATCTGTGTGTGCTGCTATTTTCATTATGTCACTGTTTGAAAAGAGATCCAGATATGGTCAAGATATAGACTCCCTATTCAGTAACCTTACGATTGTAAAAGATAGTAATGAATATGATTTAAAAGCTAAAGTACGCAATTCCCGTTACAAATTAGAAAAACTTTTAGGTAAAGAAATAAAAATTCGATGGGAAATTGCTACATTGAGTAAATATAATAGAGAGAAAATAACACCAAGAGGCCTGAGATTTTCTAAAAGTCCCTCCTTTGATCAAGAGGAGGAAGATTTTTTACAAGAATGGACAGACCTTTTGGAAAGTTTCTCATTTGGAATGATGAGTCTAATTATTAGGAGACGCACTAATTCTTTAAAGAAATTAGATGGTGAAATCAATGAAATTAAGAATTTTTTGGTTGGGAATATGGCACCAGAACAATATTCAGAGCTATTAGAAGAAATTCAGACAAACCTGGAGAAATTAGAGAGAAATGTAATAGAGACAAAAAAGAGGAAATACCTAAGAGATAAGGAAGAATATGCGAGGGACCAAGTAAGATCATACACTAAAGTACAAGAGAGATTTACTAACAATACGTGGCGAAACACACAGAATCTCTCTAAAAACAACTACTATACAAAGACAAATCAATTATCAATATACAATTCTCCACGTAATGAAAGATCCAGAAATAGATCTAGGACTAAGCTACCACACAGAACAGTCCATAGATCCAGATCATTAGGAAAGACTAGGGATGATTGGAAACAGTAGTGAGGAGAAAGAGAGTACCATCACCAAAAAGGTATCAGGATAGAACATCTAGACCCAATATACCGTTAATTAAGCCCTACGACAATAGGTCACGCACCAATATACGTCACGATACCATACATTCCCATCATAATAGATTTCAATCTTTAAACATCCCTCAAAATGATGAGGATTTTTGGCCCAGACATATGAGGGGACGTTACAAAGAAACCCCCACATATCAGGCATCACCAGGGAAACGGAGAAGAAGTTTAGAGGAAGGGGAGGTAGAGGAGGCATACGGATACAAAAAGGAAAGGAGAGAAATACCCCAAAAAAGAACGGAATTTTCAACCTCTCTAAACGAGAATTAACAACACCACAAAGGGAATTATTGACGAAAGGACTTAAATTTGCCCCTACAAAACCAATCGACAAATTTAGTGTGTATCTAGATCTTAATAGATTTAAGAGGAAACTCTGTCTTAAAAAATTATTTCTGAAGAATCCAATTAATACTATTCAAGAAATTTCATCTGCCACTACGACTATACATACTGATTTAAAGGAAAAATCAACCTTTTTTCCAAGATGTTGCATCTCTGGTGAGATGACGACCTTCGAAAAAATGGTGATGAATGATGTAAATAAAATAAAGAAACCTAAGCCAAATTTACATAACTTGAATTTAAAGGAAAGACAAGCCCTTAAACAATTAAAAAAGAGGACGAAACAATTGTGATTAAACCAGCCGACAAGGGTGGGGGGATAGTCATTTTGGATGTGGATGACTATAAACAGGAAGTTGGTAGATTGTTGAGTGACCAACAAACCTACCGAATCCTTAATAAAGACCCCACAAATGAGATTAGGAGCACATATTGGGAGTTAATTGAGAGAGGCAAAATGAATGAAGTTCTAAATTTAAGGGAGTATAAATTTTTGAATATACAACATCCTATAATCCCAGTCTTTTATTACCTCCCCAAGATCCATAAAAATAAGGATAAACCACCCGGTAGACCTATAGTTTCAGGGATAGGATCCATTTCAAGCAGGTTGTCACAGTATATTGACAAATGCCTGCAATTGATAGTTAATACCTGCCCCAGTTATCTAAAAGATACCATCAATATTTTGCAGATTATTCAACAGGTCACCTGGAATACAGATTACTATCTTGTGACATCTGATGTAAGTTCTCTGTATACGATCATCTCCCATACCCAGGGATGTAGAGCAACTAGATATTTTCTAGAGCATTCTGATAAATTTTCCAAAAACCAGGTTGACTTTATTGTTGAAGGGATCGAGTGGATCCTAATGAACAACTATTTTTGGTTTGGTGACCAATTTTATTTGCAAACATGTGGAACGGCGATGGGTACGAGATTTGCTCCCAGCTATGCAAACCTATTCATGTCACACTGGGAACAGGAGTTCATCTATGATAATCATAGATGGGATGCAAATCTCGTTACCTATCGTCGTTACATAGATGATAGATTTTTTATTTGAAAGGGCGACGAGATATCCCTCAACTCCTTTCTAACGCATTTAAACACTAATGATCGTGGTATTACACTTACCAGTCATTATAGCAAAACTTCGGTCGAATTTCTGGACCTTAACATATATGTGGAGGACGATATGTTGAAATCTTGTACTTTTTTTAAAAAGGTTGACGTCAACAGCTACACAGGAGAGAAAAGTTGCCATTTCTCTCCATGGCTGTTGAACGCTCCCAAAGCACAACTATTAAGAATTAAGCGTAATTGTACGGATAATACCAAATTTCAGGAACAATCCATTAAAATACTTAAAGATTTTAAAGAGAAGGGGTATAATGAACAACACCTAGTAAAAGCTTATGAGGAGGTAGAAATGAAAAATAGAAACGATTTACTTACATACAAGGATAAAAAAATTGATACACAACACCAAAATTTGAATTTTATTTGTGATTTTAATTGTAATAATAAACAACTCAGGAAAATAATTAATAAATATTGTCCAATACTTAAGAATGATCCTGCCCTCCACTCTTTGTTGCCAGATAGACCTATGATTACCTATAGAGGTGTTAACAATTTAAGCAGTAGTCTAGTACATAATCATTTACCATCAAGGAAGACCACTGTAAAATCATCCTTTTTTAATGAGACCAATGGATTCTATGGGTGTGGCTCATGTGGAGCTTGTAAAAATACACAAAGTTCAAAAAGAGTAACCAAGGAGTTCAACCACCCTAGAGATGACAGTAAGAGATTTAAGATTAAACAATTAATCACCTGTCACTCCACAATGGTAATATATAAAATTACGTGCCCATGTAAACTCACATATGTAGGGAGAACCATTAGAACACTAAATACACAAATTCAAGAACATATAAGAAATATTAAAAATGGTTTTGAGAAACATAGTGTCTCCCAGCATTTTAAAGACAAACATAACTGTGACCCTCGTTGTATGGAATTCATGGGAATCCAAAGAATCTCTATGAATTGGAGGGGGGGAGATTTAATGAGAAGTATAGGTCAAACTGAGATGAAGTGGATTTTTAATTTGAATACAATGCAACCATATGGATTAAATGATGATTTTGAAATCTGTCATTTTTTATAATATTATTTGTATTTTATGTATATACATATACAATTTTTATAATACTATCTATATTTATTTGTACTATATACATATATATTTTTTAATTTTAATTTTTAAGTAATAAGTCATCATAATGACCATATTGTGTGCATTTCTTAATTAAGTTATAATACTTTTTAATGCTAATTGCCTCTTACAAATATATGCACCCCTCTAAATTACTGTTCCCTTTCTCTTTATTATGACTAAAACTTCGGGGATTTACTTATATTAATGGACATTTCCGAGATATTGGACAATCAGTGGATTGAATTTGGACACTCAGTAGATTTACCCTCAAGCAAAATGGCCGCAACACTATTGAGGACACTCAACATACTTGCCATCAAGCAAAATGGTCGCAACATCATTAAGGACTGGATGAATGGATTTGATTAAACAGAACTTTTTTTGATAGAAAGGATGTCCTATAATTGTATAATCACAGTTTTTGTATGTGATGCAATATGAACGAGTGTACGATCACAGTTTACTTCCGTATGTGACGTCACGCGCACGGGACGTCGTGCGTGATGACGTCACAGTATCGGAGATATTATAATCAGCTGAACCTTGTATGAGGATTAGCGCTGTGATTGGATGTACCACGGACGTTCTCCTCCAATCAACCCCCTATTAGGGGGTATTTAAATCTTACCTTAGCAGCATTTCATTTACCAATTGATAAAGCCGAACAACATATTGGCGAAACGCGTCTTGGACACAGCACTGGCACTTGAGTATACAGATTTCATTTATTTGTTTTTAACAAGTTATAATAAATGTTCATTTCTTTTACCAAGTTGACTAGTGATATATTTATGCTGCTATCAAGAAGGGAAGTGTCACTCTATAATTGACACTGTGCTTATACACTTGGAGCCCAGTTAAAGGCTCCTGATAAGGTGAGAAGTAAATCGTTATTTTTTTCACCTGGCTACCTATTATATTAAGGATTTCTGCACTAGGGTTAGCTTTGCTTCCCTATTTCTCCCACTTTTTGTCTCCATTTTGAGGTTCCTCGGTGATTTAAAGGATCTCATTACCATCAATTTCATTATCTCCTGAAATCTGCAGGAGTAAGTGTTTTAATTTTGAAGCGCTCCACCTTTGCACTGTTTTTGCATGTATTTGCACGATAGTGTTTTTCTTTATACACAAGTATCTCCCAGAGTAGGCCCCAGGTCAAGAGACCCAGGAATGTGGGTTCGATAACTGAAGTCAAGGTCTCCCTATAGAGGGATACTTCCCTTCTTAGTTTGGAGTCCTGCGAACACATAGCGTTCTCCAATATGCAGGCAAGGCATAAAGTCCCTTCGCTCACGACAGGTGACTCTAGAGAGCAGATATAACAAAAAAAAAAACAAGGCCATTCATGCAATTCAACCATCTTCAACCAATTCAACCAGCTTCAACCATCCGAATCATGTGTTGTCCTGCTTGAGAATGTAGGCAGCCCTAACAAAAAAAACAAGGGTCTAGCTTCAACCATCCGAATCATGTGTTGTCCTGCTTGAGAATGTTGGCAGCCCTATCTGAGTCTGCTACACATCCTGAGTACTCCAGCGGTAGGTTGCGACTCAACTTTGATGTCCGTGTAGGAGTCGGGGCACACCAGGTACCTCCATAGAGTGTCGTAGGTCTTCCTGATGGTAGTTGAAAAAGTGGGTCAGCGAGAACCCAAACCAAGACGGCTCCCATGAGGGATATAGAGTATAGACGGAGGGCCCTCCACCTCCGAACCATATTCTCAAGATATGTGCTCAGAGGAGCAAGGGCAGTCCTGTCCTCTTAACCCAAGACTGGGTTACCGGTCTTTCTATGCGATTCATGCGTACGGTGTACCTACAGATCGGGTAGTGGGCCTTCCCTAGTCTTGCTACCCAAGCAAGGCAGTGCCCGTTTGCTCCATGAAGGTCTCAGTATCTCATGTCATCCTGATATGGGAAAAACTGTCTGCGCAGTTTGTTCACAATGGTCCGGATATCTAAAACAGAATGCAATTGTCTGTTTTACATAGCGCAGAATTTACCAAGACCTGCACTCTTGTAAGACCTGAGGCTCATCCATTAGCCGTACCGTCTCCAGGAGTGTAAAATAAGCGGGAGTCTCCCCCGTTATACCTCTGTGAGTATTTCTCGCATGAGGTACAATTGTCCGGATCCAGTAGATCCATTACATGAGGTGAAATGGAGGGATCCAATCTAAATATGTATATCCTACATGATCAGGCAGCCCTCTATAATGAAATCGGTTGTTAGGTCTAATTGAATGCAGGAGGTGCGCCCCTCTATGCAGTCATCATTGTCCTGTACAGGTACAAAAGCCTGTGTGATGAACAAATGGAGGCACCGTAGTGCGCTGAGTGTATGAGAGCCGCGCTCTCTAATAATGTGATTGAACTCCATGACCGCGTCCGGTTGATAGTCTGAGCGGGCCGCACCCGTTAATAACCAAATAGTAGAGTCTACGTCCGTGACCGGTCATCTCTTCGAGAATGTGTCACTCAAAACATGTCCTCTGTATCCACCCCGGTATCGGCTGAGGTTGAGGGAGGGCCGCGCCCTCTAATAACAAATCAGTGTCCGGTTCCATATATGAGAGAGGTTCGCTCTCTATTCGTGAAAATAAAATATCATTCTCGGATCGAAGTGATGGAGGGCCGCACCCTCTTGTAACCCAAACTAGAGTCCCTTAGAGACTTAGAGTGATCAACTGCAGGGGTACACCATTTATAATATCAGTTTATCAGCAAGACTGAGATCCTGAGGTGGGTCTCTCTCAGACCACGAGACTTCTCTGAATCACTCACATGAGATGGAATCAACTGTTGATAAACCAGACCAATGGGAGATGGAATAATATACCCCCTCGGGCCGTGTCCATCCTTAATAACAGAAAGGGATGGTAAGAAAATGCAACCTTCGGAAACAATGATGGGAACTACCAACTGACCGCGTGGATCCCGTGCACGCGCGTGGTCCAGGATGACCGTCGGTAGCCTGAGGAAAGCTGGAGATGTTCTACGCAATCAGGCCTCTCGACGACCCGAGCGATAGGACAATTGGAAGATTCGAAAACCAAGAAACGACAAATAATGTAGATAACGGTATATACGTACCTCGGAGAGAAGGTAAATAGCAGAGCGGAACAGCAAGCCAAGTAAACCTAACTGAAAGGGTCAGGAGCTAAACCTGACGTAGGACTAACTACCAATACCTAAGATGGATACCGGGAAGGCAGCTAAATGGTTAGTTGCTGAAGGCAAGGCAACCATGCTCCCCTGTTGGCGTCTGAGCACTGGTCCCTGCTTGTGCAAAATTTTCTTTGGAGATGTACCGCCGCCTGGTTGGTGTAAACCGTGGTGGTGCGCCCGGGGGTCCTCATAAAAAACCTTGCCCCTCAGGGCCTGAGGTTTAGGGCCTTCACACTTCCAATCATATTGAGATGCCTGTATACTGGTGTCCTCTTGAATTGTAAGGCAGCGGTGCTTGCCTGGACTATTACAATACTACATTAAGAAGCATAAAATCCCACAACATAATAAGAATAAAATACTGAATATAAGCAATAAAATCCCAAAGCCACCAACTAGAAGCAGTAGGCAGTGGTACTCTGACCTGTACTGACAGCGGAGCAGCAAAGAAAGAGGAAATGATGCATGGGAAGGGGAGTTTTATAGTACCTAACTTTTTTCTGATTGGTTGTTTTTCTGTGCTGCTGTGGAGTTCTAGTAAAGAGAGACTTAAGCAAATACGAATAAAAATTTGCCCAATTTTACAAACGTTTCAACATTTATTTTTTTGCTTTATTTTTGTTTGTATATTTGTTTAAAATTGCTTACTGGTATAAACAAAAGTCAACTGATGCATATTCCTTTTAATAAAGTCCCAAATGTGCAGGGAAGTCAAATGGGGGTTGATTCTGGATAAAGAACAATATGTCAAGGATGCAAAATTAGTCTCATAACCATTAACCAGCCATTGTGGTTTTCTATTGTGCTGCCCCCCTGTATCTACAATCCTCATGTGCTATTGACCTCTTTGAACTTCAATGTCAAGCCAAGAGCTTTCTTTTGAGCTTTTAATCAAAAAGGCAAATGAAGCTGAATAACAATAAACAAGGAGGTTTATTAGAATTTTTAAAATGCCAGGTATAGAAGTTCCACTCATATACATGTCAGAATGAAGGAAAGTTGTGCTCCAAGAAGGATTTGAGTGTCTGAAATGAGTGTTGATTTCCTGGCTATTTCCCCCTGTTACACTTTGTCTCTAGTGTACGTTTGCTTGTTTTGTTGCACTCTTCTTGATGCCCAATATTCCTTCATTCTTACAGTGATTATATATTATATCTATAAAAAAACATTCAGCTCATAATTACTCAATTAGATACTTCTTTACACATACTTTTTTTTTTCTCCCCTTTGGCCAGATTCTGGCATTCTGGACAGATTTTTAATTTTATATATATATATATATATATATATATATATATATATATATATATATATATATATATATATATATATATATAATATGTATACCTGATTGATAGCTGTGGATGTTGCTTTCAGGTATTGAACACCGCCTCTACGCTGTACAAATGTTGTCCTTGAGTCCTTCACTATTCCCTCACTAGGATATGAGTATCACATTTATCTGGGGAAGCACTGAACAACTGTTTGAGGGCTATAACAATGAGTAGTATTTTGACAATGTCACTAGGCAGTTTGGTGTCAGGGCTCAACTAATGTGACCGTTATAGAGATTAAACTAGGGTAACCCTAATATTGGTATACATAATTCTATATGCAGGTCTCCTGAGAGATTAGCACATAACCCAAACATTTACCATCCATCATGGTAACCATGTTATCAGACTTTTTGGTCTTCAGAATTGATATTCTCCTTGTCCCGGTTGGGCACATGGTAGACTTCAGATCTACAAGTAACCGTAACATGCAAGCAGGTTGCTTATGAGAACTTCTCTTGGAAGTTCTTATTCCAACTCTACGCTTTCTTGTCTGTATCCAGATATTCAAGGACAGTGTCTGCAAAGTGACCACTGAGCCAACACAAGAAATTAAGATATGTAATTTGCAACCTCTCCTCTCTGGTTCAGAGCACTTACATGTTCTACTCTATCTTTATCTCTGTGATACCATGCTTTAATAGCTTTCTAGGTTTTGAAGGATGTTCTGATCAGTCACAGTATTCAGTGTCTTGTATGCCAAGTTACAGAACTGAACCACATAGGGATCAATAGCCTACTGCCTCTGTTGCAATTCACTGGAGGTTGTATCAATAGACATCCTGCTACATCCAAAGAGGAGAATAATTCAGTGAATGCAATGATGCTTGAATTCTGAATACTATTAAAAAAATGAGGTCCAAAGTAGCGTTATCTTAACCTAAATAATGAAAAGAGTTGATTAATGTTCTGTAAGATTGTGGACAGCTGCAGAAGCATAGACATTGATATAGCAACTTCAACATATAACACATGATCTTGGGATTTTATGGCCAGTTCGTGATCTTGTTTTAAGGTAAACCTTTGAAGTAAAATACATTACACAGTCAATAGATGTGGGCAGATAACAATAAGAAATCAGGTCAAACAGGAAGCAAATTTAACATGCAAGGGATCTGTCTAGAAAAAGTGTGGGAATGAGTCGGCAGTGCAAACCCCTTGCAAAAGCTTAGATGGATTGACTAGATTCACTTTATATGTAAGAAGTGCATTCGTGCCAAGTTTTTTTTTGTTTGGCAGTACTTTTATAAATAATGAACTAGTGATCATGTTGGATACTGTGAGAGAATGGAGGCTCTGGAGGCTGCCTAACACGGTATAAAATATGAATACTGTAATAACATCCATCTTGCTATTGTTTTTATTTTCTGTTGTTCTATAGTACACATTAATCTAAATGTTTGCTATGCTTTTCTCATTCCAAATTAGGAGTATTTTCTTAATGTTTTTTTTTTTTCTTTTCAAATACATTTTTCTAGTTGGTTGTATTAGTCATGGGGTGTTTCCTGGATGAGTGTATACATTTATATCTGTAGTTGAGTGATTATGCAAGCAAACAGAAATTGCTCACCTGCCATACAATGTAAGATTAACCCCTTAAGGACTGGACTGTTTTTGCGATGTTGTACATTTGCGACCAGGCATATTTTTACACTTTTGTGGTGTTTGTGTTTGGCTGGAATTTTCCGCTCTCTCATTTACTGTTCCCATACAAATTATATATTGGTTTTTTCAGGACAAAAGGGGCTTTCTTTACATACCATTATTTATATAATCTCATGTATTTTAATTTAAAAAAAATAAAAAAATATGATGAAAAATTGAAAAAAATACATGTTTTTTGACTTTTACTTGAAAAATCTTTTACTCATCTACAAAAGCGAATTAAAAAAACTGCTAAATAGATTCAAAATTTTGTCCTGAGTTTAAAAATACCCCGTGTTTACATGCTTTTTTGCTTTTTTTTGCATGTTATAGGGCTATAGGTACAAGTAGAATATTGCGGTTTCAAAACATAAATTTTTAAAATTTATCAATAGTGACATTGTAACACTATTATCTGTCATAAATCTCTGAATAACACCCCACATGTACATATTTTTTTTTAAAGTAGACAACCCAGGGTATTCAATATGGGGTATGCAAGTGGTTACTAAAAAAGACTGGACATACCCCGTTTGCAATACCTTGGGTTGTCTTCTTTTGCAAATGGTATGCCATCATTGGGGTAATTCTCATTCCTGGGCTACCATACGCTCTCAAAGGCAACGTAACCAACCTGGCCATTTTCAATGTAAAAATATTTGACCCATATATTTGACCTTGTAACTTTCAAAAATACTATAAAACCTGTACATGGGGGGTACTGTTTTACTCAGGAGACTTTGCTGAACACAAATATTAGTGTTTAAAAACTGGAAAACGTATCACAACAATTATATCATCAGTAAAAGTGCTGTTTGTGTGTGAAAAATGCAAAAAAAGTCACTTTCACTGACAATATCATCGCTGTGATATGTTTTACTGTTTTGAATCACTAATATTTGTGTTCAGCGAAGTCTCCCGAGTAAAACAGTACCCCCCATGTACAGGTTTTAGGGTGTCGTAGAACGTTACAGGGTAAAATACAGTGCTAGCAAATTTAATTCTCTGGAATTTCGGCCTGGGTTGGCAGGCAGGTCCCTTAAATTGCAATCAATAAAATTACTGAATTATGTAAAACTATTACATAAATACGCACGTAGAATTTAAATATATATGCATATTTATATATTTGAAGTCTACGTGTATATTTATATAATTATTTATGTAATTTTGTATATGGACATATATATATTTCTTATTATTTTTATTTATTTTTATATACATAGATATATATACAAATTCATTCTAAGTGTATTTTGATATAAATATATATATATTAATTTTAAAATACAGTTAGAATAAAATTTCATATAGATATATATTTTTTTTATTTTTTATTATTATTTTAAAAATTTTTTATTTAATTTAAATTACTTATTATTTATATTTTATAATAATATATATATACAATATATATAGTTATTATATATATTATATATATACGTGTGTAATTTAATTATAAGTGTATTTTTATATTAATATAAGTACATATTAATATAAAAATACACTTAGTATGGCATTATATAGATGATATATAGACATATATTATATAGATATATTATATGTCTATATATCATATATACACATATATAATTATTATTTTTTTTATTAACACTAACTTTATTTTTTACTGATTTTACACTAGCAGGGAGACTGCCTGTCAGCACAGGCAGTCCCCCTGCAGGCAGCACTATGGACACCTATTGTGACCATGTGATCGCTGTGTTAAGCGATCACATGGCCACAGGGGTCCTAAATCAGTGTGGGGAGACTGTCTGGGCTGCAGGCAGTCTCCCCACAACCGGAGCAACGCTGATCGCCGCCGGGGGAACGACGGCGATCAGGTAAGTACCCCCAGACCGTTAGGACGGTTCAGGACCGTCATCGGTCCTCAAGGCAAAAATGCCGATGACGGTCCTGAACCGTCCTCGGTCGCTAAGGGGTTAAAAAAGTTAACTCATATTGCCAGCAACAAACAAACATTAGCAAAAAAAAAAAACGTATTTCCTGATTCAGGACAGCTAGTCAACAACATTAACCCCTTAAGGACCACATTTCTGGAATAAAAGGAAATCATGACATGTCACACATGTCATGTGTCCTTAAGGGGTTAATGATTGTAAAGCGCTGCAGAATTTGATGGCGCTATATAAATACCATAATAATAATGATGGCCATCCTTTCTTTTCCATCTGCATTATTATACTACTGTTTAAAGTACAGTGCTAGCAAAGCCTCGTCCTTCTTATCATTTTTAAACCAAAACACTTTATTTACTAAAATTCACACAAGTGAGATATTCTAAAGTGGACATTATACATGCAGTCTAAAAATTGTGCTGGCATAGTCGTGTGTATGTATGTATTTCAGATTACATGTGTTAATTGTAAGTTATTGGAAAGTAATGTGTATTGAATCTTAAATCTTATAGATCTGTTTTGTAGTTCATATTCCTAGACAAACCTCATGGAAGGAAAAAAAACATTCCTCTTTTTGTACATGGTACATAATCTATTTTTAAGAATTGATCATTTAGTTATTTGTAAACTTGTTTAGTGTAACATTCTGTGTATCACCTTAAAAACAAACAAGTGCAGAGCATCTGTATAACAGATCTATATGAATAAAAGCAGAAATACTAAACGTTATCCAACTCACTGGATTCGATCGGCATATGTGCCACTCTCACTTTGACAGCCCTGAAGGGATCATTCTCCTTAATCTGGAAAGGATCACAAACTGCTATTGTCTTTTAAAACTTTTTTTTTTTCATCCTTTTGTTTGTTTTGTGGATTTGTTTGGCTTATGTATTTATGCATCTATTTAATTATCAGAACACGCGGTGCCAATTTATAGCCATATATGTTGATACTACTAGATGATTGGAATAATTGCTTGAAATGTAGCAACATTTAGAAATTGAAACAACTAGCTGTTTTAAAGATACAATTGGCAATAGTATATACTGCTGCTAGGCCAGACTAAGCTCACTCACTGCATTTGGAAAAAACCTGAGGAGCATAGTGAAACGTGTTATGCGAAGCTGACACGAGATTGGGAGATTGTAAGCGGAGAGATAAACGCCGAGGTAAAACCGTTCCTTGCTGGATTTGGTTTTTAATCTATTCCCTGCACAGTCACTTCACAACCCCATATCGGCTTTTTGTTTTTATTTATTCATCTCTACTTATTATTATTTTATTAATTATATAGTGCCAGCAAATTCCGTAGCACTGTACAATGGGATAAAAAAAATAAAGATTTTTACAAGACCTCAGCAGTTCATGATCCTTTCCTGTTTGGTCTGAGCTGATCCATTGCACACGAGGAGCCGAAAACCTTCAGAGCTGTCAAAGTGAAAGTGGCATATACAGTTAGGTCCGGAAATATTTGGACACTGACACAATTTTCATAATTTTGGCTCTGTTCCACTACAGTGGTATGCTTTGGATCATGAGCCATGTTTGACTTGTGCTGGCTCTGTCCCTGATCTGCCTCATTGACAGTCTCAGCCAATTCTATGGGGAAGCAATGTGATTGGCTAAGACCACCACTTCTGATGATGTCAGCAGGCATATCAGGGGCAGAGGCAGCAGCTGCAGACTTGAATACAAGTAAGATTTTACTATTTTTAGGAAAGAAAGAGGGATCAGGGGGGCTAGATGGTGGATTTAACACTATATGGTCAGGAATATATGTCTGTGTTCCTGACCCTATAGTATTTCTTTAGCCATATTCATTATTTAACTGTAACTCAAATTTATTTTGGTAAACAGTTGAAATAGCAAAACTTGTGTCAGTGTCCAAATATTTCCAGACCTAACTGTGAGCTGTAAGCCACTTGAATCCAGTGAGTTGAATACCTAATGTTTTTTTTCCTTTTTTCATATATATCTGTTGAACAGATGCTCTGTACCATATGTCTTTGTCATCTGTTAAGTTGGTGCTCTGAATGCTACATTGAAGAAGTTTATAAATAAGCTTTGTCATTTACTTCTATTTTGTGCGCACTATTTTATAATTTACTATATTGTAACTAAAGGGCACAGGGTTAATCCTTTGGTTGCTGCATTTATTTATTTTTAATCACTATATATATATATATATATATATATATATATATATATATATATATATATATATATATATATTTTGCATTGTTTCATTGTTTGCACGTTAAAGGTTTTCTTTTTCACATGTTATTTTGCTCCTTAAACGGGTGTTTACACCTAATTTTCAACTTCATGATTTCTAATAGTTTTATATTTAAGCATCTTATTTAACTTGTGGTTAATGTTTTTAAAAAAGGATTTTATTGACTGTGTGTATTATTTAAAATGTTCAATAAAATGTTGTTTTGGTTCGAATTGTTTGACTTGTAAAAAAATGGACCGTACTGCAACATATTTTATTTGCACCCCGATAAAATTATTTGAAATGTTTCTATTCTGATACTATTTGCCAAAAACGATTTACCAGTTCTAAATAAGTTATAGCATTGCTATTTGACAGTGTTTATGTTTTTTTTTTTTCTTCTTTTTTTTCTTTTTAGTGCAAATTGGAGCTGCAGGAAATTGGTGGTCCAGTGGACCATGCAACAGCTTTTGGCAGAATTGCATTTGCTTGCCCTAAGGAAGAGGTGAGAGTAAATTAATTGGTGGTAATTCATTCTTAAGGTGAACCTGTTGTGCATAAAAATTACTTTCCTGAACTTGCTTCGATATACATTGAATATACCATATATTACAATTGAGAGATTTACTCACCTCTCCTAATTTCAATTGAGAGATTTACTCACCTCTCCTAATTTCAGCACCGCCATCTTCAAGCTTTGTCAGTGGTACTCTTCATGTAACACCCACCTCTGAGCTATCCACTGCTCCACCTCCTCTCTGTCTGCGGCCTTCTTTGCTTTGATGTGCTTCAGGACACTTCCCCAAGCAGGGCAAACCTCCTCAGTGACGTTGGCAAGCTGGCTCTATTGCCAATGAGATGAAGTGGTCTGGGTGCATATAGCGTCCCTTTAATTATGCTAAATTTGCTTTGGTGCTTAGAGTAACACTTTAAATGTTACCTGACTTGCACTTAAATTATAGATATAGGTAACTAAATCTGACTTAAATAATTATGTTTTCAAAATACAAAAAATAAATGAGGCAAGGGTCTAACAGTGGGTGAGGCAAGAGGGAAAATTGGAGGTGGTTATAGAAAATGTTTGAATAATACAACCACTTTCCACCAGAAAAGTTGGGCTCTCCAATGCTTTTGCCATAATTAAGGTCATAAATAGGGGTTTTGTGTGTAGTGAGTTAGGACAAATGATCATATGAGTCTTTCTCGATCATGTAGCTAATGCATGAGCAGGAAAGGGAGTTGTGTGGAGAAGAGGAGAAGCTGGTAGAAAGACCTCTCAACAGGAGGTTAGCGAAAGGCAGATATTTTGACTGCAAGTAATGAGTAGAGGGGAAAAGTGAAAATAAATAAATAATGGAGGGGTAGAAAGGAGGAAGAAAGAATTGAAGGCTGCCTATTTCATCCTTATGAATTAAAATTTAAACCGTGGCCACCCTGTATGTAAGTGTCGGAAAATTAATTTACAAATATTGTCAATCCATATTTCCTATCTGTGAGAGGACAACAATTTTCTTCATTTTCTAGTTGAAGTATAATAATGACTGCACAGTATTCTGCCTGCTCATTGATTTGTCTCCCCATTCTCTTGTATTATAAGCTTCCCAACATTGAAGCACTGATGAAAAAGGAGAACCAGAAAATACTAACTCCGCTTGTGAGCCTGGACACTCCTGGAAAAGCTACAGTCCAAGTTGTAATCTTGGCTGACCCTGTAAGCACTCAAATGATTTTAAAAGCAACTGGTATTTAAAATCTAGAGCAATGTAACAAATGTTTTAGAGTTGCCTTTCATTTTAAGGTTGCTTTTGTATATTTATGTTTTCCAGTAAATAGATGTCATTTTACCATACAATCCTATCCGTTTATAAACCGTTTTATTAAATTATTAATCCTGTGTGATAAATTGCTAGTGGATAAAACTATTATCCAATAAAACTCAGTTTGACAAGAATTTACTGGATAAATTGTTGAGGATGAAGCTTTTCAAGAACTCTCCCAGACTGATACCAATGCAGACAAACTTCTGAATGATGTAAGCTCCTAATTAATTGTAATAAAGAAGCTGTTTTATGTAGGTAAATCGGTAATGGAGTTTAAAGGAACACTATAGCGTTAGGTATACAAATATGTATTCCTAACGCTATAGAGCCCTAGTCACCTAGATGGTGACTAGGGCCCCTTCCGCAGCAAATAAATGGTTAATTAACCATTTATTTTCTTACCTTAATCAAGCGCCGGGCTCCCTCGGCGCTGGTGACCTCTCCTCCATCGACGTCAGCTCCATATACCAGAATTAAAGGCTGAAAAAGTAGAGGCTGTCCTGGTGATTGAGAGGTCTGCCTGCTTCTGACTCTTATAGAGTACTGTGGCTGTTTTCAGTTTACACCCATTGTGGCTTACAGCTCAGTGACTTGAGTTGTGAGTGTAAAAGCAAATAAAAGTACAAAGAAATAAGCCCCACACTCACACTAATCTTGGGCGGCAGCAATGGCTAGAATTTATCAGCAAACGAGTAGTGGAAGTTTAAGTACAGGGCTTCTTTATGTGCTTTTGTAATTTAGGGCTTATTTTCTTGCGTTTTTGTTATACAGCCATGTTATAGTGCTGCCCACTCTATTAAGGGTTATTTTATTTGTAGGGGTTCATAACAATACTCTTTGTCTCATTCATTCAAGAGTGTACCTTTTAAGCTGAAAGAGGTAAGGTGAATGGTTAGTGCAGGACTTGCCTAGGATTTGCCTTGACGTAGCTGTTGAGCTTATATGTTAATTGCTTTTCCTATGGAAAAAGCATTGGATTGGCTGAGATCATCAATTCTGCACAGCACTGGAAATAAGATGCCTTGTCTTATCTTTTAAGGGGGGAAAGCCACCTAAATGGTGTTTTTAACACTATCGGGTCAGGAATACATGTTTGTGTTCCTGACCCTATAGTGTTCATTTAATTGATCCAGAATCCTCAACCTTGTGATTAATATTTATTTATTTCCTATTTTAAAAGAAAATATATTCAAAAAAATCTATTCACACACCTCAAATGAAAAGCCTAATTTTGAGATACAACGACCTCGATAAGAAACAAACAAGCAGCCAACTGTCCATTTATTCATGTTCCCCGGAACCATATAGTAAAATAAAATTAAAATAAAAAAAGCTATAATTTATATACATGCAACCCTATTGATCAAAATACATTTTAAATGTTGCAGTTAATTGATTGCGCATACCTTTTGTTCAGTTTGATTTATATAATATGTGTTTCCTATTTTTATTTTTAGGATGGACATGAAATTTGCTTTGTTGAGGATGAAGCTTTTCAAGAACTCTCCCAGACTGATCCCAGTGCAGACAAACTTCTGAATGATGTAAGCTCCTAATTAATTGTAATAAAGAAGCTGTTTTATGTAGGTAAATCGGTAATGGAGTTTACCTCCATCGACGTCAGCTCCCTAGTAAAGCCAAATTCACATGTGTGGCCAGAGGCGCGCGTGCATTCAAACCTGCCCATAGGAAAGCATTACTCTGCTTTCCTATGGGGATCTTTTTTTGACGCTGGAGGTCTGTGAGGTGGTCTGGGTTCCTGTAGTGGTCCTTTAAGAAAACACTATGGCCTCAATTTAATCCAGTCAAAAACAGCCTTTTTATGGCTGTTTTTTATTATTACCATCATATTATTGGATTTTGGCTGGATTTAATGCCAAGTGAAATTCAAGCAGCTGATAAATGGGTCAGCTGCTCAAAATAACCGGAGTTAAATGTGTGATAAAAACACATTTGTCTGCCTTCTTTAACAACTAACCCTGTTTGACATAAAAAAAAAAAAAAGCAAACAAAAAAAAAAAACTACAGGTTCAATATGACTTCCCATTAATGAGGTTTGATATCTCACTTATTCTCCCATTCATGGTATGTGTAATAAACAGTGAGCAGTTACTGTAATAAAATAAATAATTCAATAAACAGTAAACCTATGGGCATCTGAAGTCACATACTCAGCACCACTCACAAGCAGCATGGCTATAATTAAAATAAATAGTAGGGGCATAGTGTCCTCCCCAGCCTCCACCCACCCATAGCCAACATAAGTTGGGACTAATAAATGAAACAAGGGTGTGGGCTAGTGTACACCCCAGCTCCCATCCATGGCTGGTGGGTGGGGAATATAAAAAAAATAAATAGAAAGGTTAGTGGATTTACAATTATGTCCACACCCTGCTCAAAACTGTGGCCAGTTGTCCCTAGCTATCCCCGCACAATTGTGAAAGCCTTGCGTACCCCGTCATCATAATGAAAGTTGTTTTTTTGGGGGGAGGAGGGGGGCAAAATATTGAATCCCCTTGAAGAAAAATGTTATCTACCATCAGATATCTTCTTTAATTCAGTCCTACAAAAGGCCAAACAAAAATCCATAATTACTGATGATACTATGAAAAATATATTTAACAACACCATGATATCACATAAGATATATTTAATAAAGAGCCGATGCTTTGTCCTACAACTACCCTGTGAACCATTCTCATTATATTCAATGAACCATATATCACTGCGAGTCTTGTTTGCAGTAGATGTTGACATTGTAGAGGTTCTTGGAGGCAGTCCAAGTGTGCACCATTTAATGCCACAGCTGTATTTTTTTGCTTCGTACTACATGTCAGGGTGCAGAAGATATGTTAATACTAGATAAAGGCGTAAGTATAACATTGTGAATTAAAATCTAAAATCTATAAATTTAAATGAAAATATTAATAAACAAAAATTGTACTCGATACTCAAAGGTTTTGTTATATATATTTATTTTTACTTTATTTTATATGCATGATTAGTTTTAATAATCAGAATTTTAAAATGTACAATTATTAGCGGAGTGTTGTCTGAAAATTGCCATATTAAATCTCGTGCCTACATATTCTACAGCGTGTTACAATAAATATGCTTACAAATTAAATCAAACGTGTTTAAGTGGTAATAAACAAGGTATGTAATAGTCCTCTTGTAAGCATTCAATTTAGAGAAGGTGGGCAACCGACTAATTAGGCCATGTGAACAATTTTGGAGCCTAGACTATTTAGTAGAGTCCAGGGATGCTAAATATTACAGATTTTAGAGGAGAGAGAGCTATAGGATAAAAATTGACAAATATGTATGTAGTGCAAGTTGTTAAAAATAAAATAATAGTGCGATGGATAACAGTTTCACTTACAATAGCTGAGCATCACGCGAAATGCAGGAGTATCGTATGTTCGCCTATATAATGTTGGATGTATAAACTGATCAATTCAATCTGATAAAGGGTCATCAAATAACAAAATGTACTGCAAATATAAGTGGGCTTCTTTAGTGTTAGTCTTAGTTTCTCTTTTTAGAAGTTATGTCTTGTAAACAAAATGTGATTATATATCACTGACTATAATTATTGTATTGTTTTATGCTTATGTGTCTATACACACACACACACACAAGTTTTTTATAATTAATATTCAATAAGCAAAGCTTAAAGGAACACTATAGGTCAGGAACGCAAACATGTATTCCTAACCCTATAGTGTTAAACCCACCATTTAGGTGGCTTACCTCAGCCTCCTTAAAAATAATTAAAACTCTCCTTATTTCCAGTGCCGTGGGGATCTGCCGGCGCTTCTGCTTCCTTGACGACATCATCAGAATTGCCAATTTTTAGTCAATCCAATTCTTTCCCATAGGGATTGGCTAAAATCAGCAAGGAGGCGGGATGGGGGAGGGGCCAAACACAGTCAGTCAGCATTTCTTCATAGAATCAATACATCTCTATGAGGAAAATTCAGCGTCCCCATGCAGAGCATGGAGATGCTGAATGGCAGTGCTGCCTACTGTGCAGCACCGCCCCAGGAAGCACCTCCAGTGGCCATCTGAGGAGTGGCCACTTGGAGGTGTCCCTATGGGGAATGTAAACACTACTATACGTAGTCCACCTGGGAGTGAGAATAACTAAATCCATAGCAACACTAATAAAATATAATCACTTCCAAATGTTGACAACACTGAGACAAGAACTAGACAAATGGAGGGAGGTGCGAATCTCCTGGTCAGGCCGAATAAATGCCCTCAAGATGATGTCCCCGCCCAAGCTGTTATATATTTTTAGGATGCTTCCTATCCAAATTCCTAAAAGTTACTGTGACAAGGTGCAGAAGCTCTTCACGGACTTTATATGGCATAAAAGCAGAGCTAGAGTAGCGAGGGAAGTGTTGCAGAGACCATATGCGGAGGATGGCATGGGTGTCCCTCAGGTTATGTACCGTTACCCTGAAATCCGAGGGTCTTGTACAGATTGTGAGGCAGCAGATCTAATATCTAAAAGAGTTTGTGGAAAGTTAAATTTGAACCAGCTTTAAAAATGTATGACATTTCGACTTTCTTGGATTTATCCAATGCTTCTTTGGTACTTGAATTGGACATCTTTTTCTTAAAGGGAAACTCCAGTGCCAGGAAAACAATCCGTTTTCCTAGCACTGCAGGTACCCTCTCCCTCCCAGCTCCCATCCCAGGTAGCTGAAAGGGTGAAAACCCCTTCAGGTCACTTACCTGAGACCGCGCCAATGTCCCTCGGCGGTGGTTTCAGGTCGGCGTCGCTCCTCCCAGTAATTACGACTGATCCCGCCTGCCGGCTGAGGAAACCTAATGCGCATGCGTGGCAAGGTCTGCCCATAGGAAAGCATTGAAAATGCTTTTCAATGCTTTCCTATGGGGGAATTGAGTGACGCTGGAGGTCCTCACACAGCGTGAGGACGTCCAGCGACGCTCTAGCAAAGAAAATCTTTGCTATGAAGCAGGAAGTGCCCTCTAGTGGCTGTCTAGTAGAGGTGGAGTTAACCCTGCAAGGTCATTTTTGCAGTTTATTAAAAAATGCAATAATTACAGTTGCAGGGTTAAAAAACTGCAATAATTACAGTTGCAATAAAAAACTGCAATAATTACAGTTGCAGTGGGAGTTGGCACCCAGACCACTCCAATGGGCAGAAGTAGTCTGGGTGCCTGGAGTGTCCCTTTAAAGCTATCTGGCAAAGGTTTGTAACAGGAGGAGCAAGCTATGTGTTTAGTTTTTGCCACGACTTTGCCTTTTTCAACAAGTTTATCGCTTGTTTCAGGAGGATTATAATGAAATAAAACTGAACTTGGCATATGTTACTGAGTGATAATATAAAGTATGGAAAACTACTTTTCCAAGGTGTAGTGGAAAGCAGGTGAGGAGCACACAAATAGTGTTCTGAAAAAGCACCTAGCTGTCAGAAGCTGTGGCTGGGTTTATATACCGGCATTATTGGTTTTCAATTCAGATTTTAGCATCAAGCACTCAGGTCACTTTGTGCATGGAGTCTCAGTTGGACATGCGTTCCACTTGGAAAACCTCCCAGTCACATGCTAGCATGCCTTCCTCCTGTCCTGCACCGGCAAAGCAAAAAGGATGCATGTGCCTAGCTGAGAGACTGACCTTTAACAAAACTCTCGCCAGCTGACCCGATCTTCTGCACAGACTATCCAGGAGCCTCCATCCCCGTCACTACATGCTATGTGAAGACTACATGCTAAGCCGAGACAAACAGTAACAGGGAGCTTTATGGGCAGAGGGATTTAATTTTTAAATTTCCCTCCAAACTAGACTGCATGTCCTGCAGAAATTGCTAAAGATTCCTAAGGTTCTGTACTGCCTCTATAGGAATAAATAACTAACATGAGCTTGTTATGACTGCTGTAACTTGTCCAGTCCTTGACTTGAAAGATCACAGGATGAATCTGCATAAACATAATATTAAAAACAAAACACATTTTGCCATAGAAGCCATGTCTTCAAATGATATTTGGTCAAAATAACAAAATAGTATTAAAGGCTATGTTGCTATTATGGCGGGATTGTGTTAAATTGTGATGCTTGCTGTTTTGTAATGCTGATATTTTTTTTATTGTAATGTCATTTGTCACTTATAGGCTATGGTAGCTGACAAAAGTGAGGAGTGGTTTGCAAAGCGCAAAATGCAGAAGCCTTCAGCATAATTCAAGCTACTAAAACTTCAAAACTGTGTTCTCCACCGAAGACTGACAACCCTTAACACAGTCAAACAAGAAAATAAAATACTATATTGTGCATTAAAACAAATGTGTGTATTTTTTATTTCATGTGACACTATATCTACACCTTTGTATGCCTTTTGTTGAAGAACAGCTGCCACAATATGTTAACTGAAATGCACCAGGTCAGTTCTGGGACCTACCAGGTAGTATTGTGCTGCACACTTCTCAGCCAGCTGATTGACATTGCTAATGTTGCAAAGCCACAATCTAGGTCAGTAGTTTTCAACAAGTCTGCTGTGGCATGCTGATGTACCTGAAGTTACCTTAATAAGTGCCTAACATGTTAGCTTCCGGCTTGAATAGGCTCAGTACAGTCATTAAAGGGAACTATGGCCACCAAAACAACTCTAGCTAAAAGCAGTTTTGGTGTACAGATTTAACCAATTCACTGCCATTTATGTGTTAAATCACTTTGTTAATGTAGCCCCAGTCACATGTCCCTGCATGTGATTTACACAGCCTTCTTAAACACTTCCTGTAAAGAAAGCATGTCAAACTTGCGGCCCACAATGACTATATATATGTATAAGGGTTGCCCTGAAGAGACTGTTTGATATATGGTTTATTTTATGTTGTTCGCTTAAATATGTGATAGAGGGCATTCGTATGCTAGTGGCGCGAAAGCCGCTAGCATTCCTATTGTTGTTTCACGAACAGTGACTTTCAACACTGTTCGGGAAACAAACAAAGTACCGAATGGGAGACCGCACACAGTGTGGCTCCCATTAACAGATTGCAACAATGTTTCTCTGTTAATTGATTCACAGGGTGGTTGCCGTTCGGATACCGACCACGCGGCGGCGGCCATCTTGGATCCCCTTTTAGCCCAGCTGTGTTTGGTCATCGTGTGCCTGGAACTAAAATCGGCTACTCGACCGCACAAACACCGCTGGACTTCCAGACCGTTCGGGACCACCGGTCCTTCGGTAGTTTCATACAAACCGTTCATTCGTGTATTTTCTTGGGTGTTCATATTAAACGTTGTTTCGTGTGGCATTCAGCTAATTGTGCTGGGATCTGAGTGGTAGTTTCTTGAAGTATGCGCTCAGATCCCAGCTATCTATACAGATGTCATTCAGTACAGAGGGATAATCCACTTAACAGGATATTCTTATGGGAGTATCCCTCTTGTACAGCAGTGCATGGTGGGAAAATTGTCCTGTATGTTCAGTTCCCCATGTAGTCCCCTACTGTACAACCCCTGCAAAGTCACTCAGGAAACCCCTGGCATGGGGAACCACATAAATACTGTGACCTGTGAATAAAACCTCAGTTGACTCCCAGCCTATATGTCGTCTAGTTCTTGGGAAGGAAGGATTCTTATAACGCTACCGGGGTTATTGTATACTGTACCTGCCTACCTGAATTATTAAATGCTGTTCCTGTCTACCAGCGGAGATACTGTGGATTATACTACCTCTCCGCTACAGTCATCTAATGTTTACACTTCCTTTATTGCAAAGTCTGTTTAATTTAGATTTTTATCATCTCCTGCTTTATTAACAGCTTGAAAATAAATAGAGCGTATATATCAAAACCACATTTTAGGAGAAACCCCCAAAAGTGAAGTGGTAGTAAAAAAAAAATACAACCTGAAAATAGTGGGGTAGCAAGATACAATCTAAAAAATAAATACATAACACAACATAGTGTAAACTGTAACAGAAAAATAAATATAAAACAATAAAACTACCACTCACATTTAACAGAGCCGTAGCAGGCTCAAGGGTGCCAATACAGGCTAGCGAATTCCCAGAGAGTAGATGGAGAAGCTTTCACAGTATATAATAAAAGATTTTATTGAGGATAAAATAATCCACAAACTCAAAGTACTAAGGGAGTGGAACCCTATAGCAAAACATAGAAAAAAGGGATTTCCACTTACCCTAAACAAAGTAACCGAGAGAGTAATATAAAAATACAATAAAATAACAAGCAAAAAATAGCAAACGCGTTTCGGATCGATAGCCTTCTTCCAGTGCTGGTGCTTGAGTCTTCAGTGCTTGTTTAAATATGCCCGGCATCTCAATTCACCTGTGTGTAATTTCCGTCCGTATGCGTCACTTCCAGTTTTCGTCAATTGGAACGCACAATGGAACGCAAACAACGTTCTACTATATTAGGTGGACAGAAAAAGTTCTTATATACATAAGTGATGATGCTCAATAAAATTAGAGAAAATAACATTGTAAATATGAGAAAAAATGCATATATGAAAATACACAGTAAGTTTTAATACACAATGGATAACCCAAAAATTCATATATATTTGACATATATATGTACAATAGAACATACTAAATATGCAAAGAAAAATGGAGAGGTAAGAGCTGGCAAAGATAGAGAGAATGATAAATAAAAATAATAGAAAATATATATATACACATATAAAAATCGACAAAAGCAATATATAATCAAAAATGTAATTTAAAAAATGAATAAATTCAAAATCCAAATTTAATCCATTAGGGGATAAAGAATCTACATCAAAGATCCATTTGCTCTCTATCCTTGCCAGCTCTTTAACATTGTTTTCACCTCTCCAATTTTTTTCTTTTTTGAAAACAGCCATAAAGGATAACACAGATGGATCACTCCTATGTTTTTCGGCAAAATGTTTCATATACTCCCTCTGGATATTACCCACGTGTTCCGCAACCCTGTTCTTTAAAGCTCTGGTGGTCATTCCAATATATTGCAGACCATGTGGGCACCAGGGGAGGTATATGACATTGGTAGATTGGCAAGTCAAAACTTGGCGAATGGAGAAAGTACAGTGATTATGGTACAACGTGAAAGAGGTGTTTTTTTGTTTTTTACACTTTTGGGGTTTTCTCCTAAAATGTGGTTTTGATATATACTCTCTATATTTTCACCTTTATTTAGTGTTTGGGAAACACTGCTATATCAACCACCATATTGTATTCACACATAAGTTTATAACTTTTCCATCTTGTGAAGCGCCTACACACTACTTATTTTCTTTATTAACAGCTTGCCAAACCCTGCAGAGCAGAGAGTTTATATAATTAAAGTTCAATTTACAGAGCAGGAGATAAAACTTTTAAAATAAGTAACTTCTGATTGAAAATAAAACCAATTTTATTCATGCAGGCTTTTTCAGTCACACAAAATGTAACATGTGGAGAGACACTTAATATAATTATCACCACAATTATGGGTGCTATTCCAACAAGGTACTCCCTCCAATACCAATAAACTAAATACTCAAAAAGAAAGGAGTGCACACCAACTGATACAATAGTATCTATCTACATATATTTATTATAATACAAATACAAATCATACATACAAAAATGTAACAATGTAACAGTGACCAAATAGGCAAAAAAAAGCTAAACCATATATTTACCAAATTCCACAAGCCTATATGGGCAGAAACACGAGTCACAAACAGTCCCCCAGGGATGCTGTGGCTAGGGGTGCATAAACAGAAACAAAAGTGATTTAACACCTAAATGAGTAGTGAAACTTCAAAGGCATGATCTATACACAAAAACTGCTTTATTAAACTAAAGTTAGGTTAGTGACTATAGTGTCACTTTAAGTATGTAACTATATATGTTTTCCCGTCGGAAGTGGCCGTACTGAAACAAGTGGGTTGTTACCTCTTATGTGGACAAGAAGCTCTGCAAAAATTAAAATGATCTCGCCTATTTGCTCATAAAAGCCAGCTTCCTCCTTCAATCCACAGTTTTTGTCCCGACCGCAGGACAGACAAGATGCTCCAGAGAGATTGGTGAGACTCACAGGAGGACCCCAGGAAGATGCAGACCTGAAAGCTCCCCGGGAGGTGAGCTGCGAGGTTACCTTTCCACTACATGTTACGGAACGTAAATGGTTAGGTTTTTTTATGCAGGAAGTAGGAGGTCCCGGGTAGCCCTCAATTTTCTAGGCAGACCAAGCACTTGCGCACAGCAGTGAAACGCACGTTCGGGTGGCATTGCGTTCCACTGAACTGCGCATGTACGTATCGGAACTTCGATTTTTGCAGCGAAAACTCAAAAAAAATCAGCAAATAAACCCTACTGATGTCGGGGGTGGTCGCCAGTATTGGTTTACTGTGTCACCAACCCTCCCACACGGCAGTAAGTAAGGTTTTTTGAGGTGAGCTTAAAGTCTCTACTATAAAAGCCCTCACTTTAATTATGCTCTTTAGTAATAATTTTCTTATATTGCAGATATGTCCAGTCCTGCATTCCCAGACAAGGAGAAAATGTCCGCTCCAGCCCCCAGGAAGACTACATGCTAAGCAAAACACCTCTGCTGCATGGAATGTTCTGTGAATCTGCCGGACGGATGCAGAAAAAAAAAAAATCAGACTTCAGGTGAATGCTCAAGCTCTTCCAGATCGGAGGTTTCCAGCCTGCACTCCAGCTTGGATGAAGGCTTCCCACCAGAGGAACATAAAAAATTGGTCACAAAAGTTGCTGCCTTGTCTTAGGGAATAGAACCTACTAAAAGTAAAGTCAGAGGTTTCCCTACTAATCCCAGAATCCTGGAGTTGCTCCAGAGGGAGTGGAAAAATCCTGAAAGACGTGCTTTCATTTCAAAACACTTTAAACAGATATTTAAATTACAGAGCAAAGCGAGATGGGAAGATCTCCTGAAAGTAGACATCCAAGTGGCTCAGCTCTCCAAGTAAATCACCATTCCTTTAGGTGAAGTTTCTGGCTTAAAGGAGCCTATGGATAAACGTGTGGAAACATCTGGCAGAAGGGCATATCAGGCTGCAGGTTATCAATGCAAAGCAGCTATTTCAGGGGCATCGGTAGCAAAAGCAGAAGTTCTTAAGCTGTCCGCTCGAATTATGGGTCTTTCATCAGTGTATAGAATGGCCCTGTGGCTCAGGACATGGACCGCGGACACAGCATCAAAGGCAACCCTGTGTGAACTGCCTTTTGAGAAGAACAAACTTTTCGGCTCTACACTGGAAGACATTATAAAACATATTGCTGATACCAAGAAGGCCCTTCCACAAGAATGTAGGTCCTCCAGCAATAGGAGTTTTCAATATAAAAGTCAAAGATCCTTTCGGTTTCAGGATAAATCCAGAAGGTTTTACAAACTATTTTGAGAAGTCAAGAGAGAGTACCAAGCATGTCAGATAAGAAAAGACTATATTGACGCCAGAAGAGTGGGGGGGGGGGGCGTCTGAGATTTTTCATTCAAACATGGAAAGACACCACTTCCAACAGATGGATATTGTGTGCTATAGCAGAAAGCTACAGGATAAAGTTTAAAGAGAACCCACCTTCAGAATTCCTGGTATCAACTTATTATTCAAAAAAAAAAATCTGAAGCCTTTCTCATGGCCTCATTGACTCTCTTAAATACAAAAGGTACCAAAAAAAACAAGAGTTCCACGGAGTATACTCTCGACTTTTTCTCGTCCAAAAAACAGACTGAAGCTTTTGCCCTATTTTGGATCTCATTGTAGTAAACTCCTGCATTCCATACCAACGTTTCCACATGGAAAATATCCTTTCGGTAACACATATTCTTCAGCAGGATTCTTATCTTCATGTTACGATGGCTGTAAGCTCAAGAAAGTATCTCCGGTTTGAGATAAAGTCAAGCAAAAAGAAGCTTCTTCATTTTCAGTTCATGGCACTTCCATTTGGCCTTTCGTCAGCCCTTCATATGTTTTATGAAGATCCTTCTGCCCTTAACAGCCACACTAAGACTAAGAGGCATAGCCATCATCCCCTACTTAGACGATTGGCTTCTGAAGGAAGACTCAAAAGAACAGCGGGAATCTTCTATTTGCCACTCGGTTTTTGCAAGCTCACAGTTGGCTAATAGATTCTGAAAAATCTGATATGTTGTCTAGCACAAGGATTCTGTTTCTATGCCTTTTTGTGGATTCAGCAACTCTGAAAAAGTCCTTTCCAAGAGAGTGTCGGGATGACTAAATGATCCCGCACGCAGAATTGTAACACTCCTAGGACTAAGGATAACATCTAACCGGACCTTGGAATGGCCAGACTTAACGTATCCAAGAATAGTCAGAATATTTGCCGAGGTCAGGGATAGAGAATCCGACGTAGCGATGAGAAAAAGCCAAAAGTCAAGGATACCAGAAATCAGGGAAGTCAGAACGAAGCCAAAGTCAAATACCAAAAATTCAGGAACGCACTCTCGGATTACCATCAGGCAGAAACCATGACAGGGCAATGAGAGAATGTAAAAATTTGTTTAAATAATCCTCCTGTTATTCCGATTGGTTGTAACTGGCCTTTGACCCCAAAACGTGTGCGTGCGTGACGTTACATGCACACCGACGTCATCCGCAACGTGAGCAGCCTTGGGACTATGGAGTGGCATAGATCCGCACGGGACAGCATCCTTAGACATGCTGGATTTATCAGTTATCCGGGCGCATGGTTGCAGATGGGCACAACTATTCCTGTCAGGACGGTAAATACCATCATAAACATTTCTATGTGCCGATGAATCCGTTACAGAGAGAAGCTAAGAAGGATCAAAAAGATTTGTACGCTTCAGAGAAATATTCTGATCTGTAAGACAAGCAATGAGCATCTTAGGCCTCCTTACATCCACCATTCCAGCGGTGAAATGGGCAAGGTCGGAGGTCTTCTTTTCTACCAAAAGTTATATCAAGACAGAACATCAACCAGCATGTCATCCTTCCTTCCTTTTGCCAAAATCATTTTACGGAAATGGAGAAGAAATGCCACTGCCTCAATGTTAAAAGGGCCTTTGAAATATATCTCCACAGGTCAACCCCCTTACAGAATTTCAGACCATCTCTTTGTCAACTTTCAAGGTGCATTTAAAAGCAAGATGGCTTCAAGATCTACGTTGGCCAGATGGCTTACAGAGGCCATTAAATTGGCTTATGAAACTAGCAACAACTCCCTTCCATTTCCGGTCAAAGCACATTCTACCAGAGCCTTGTCAACATCATGGGCTGAAAAGTCATCAGCTTCGCCAGAAGATATCTGTAAAGCTGCTACTTGGACCACACTTTTAGAAAGCATTACAGGCTGGACATAT